AGACTACCCTCGTATAACACCGAAAATTTAAATGCTAATACGTCTGATGCTACTTTTCAATATTATCAACATTCGTTACAACACAATACTAAGATTTTTCGTTTAATTATTTCTAAAAACAAATGAAACGAATTAAACCCGGTAAATATAATCGTCATTACTTAAAATTGAAGTTTGGGAAATGATTTCACGTATTTGCCTCTAAAATATAACAAAATAAAATTTTTTATTATGTTCAAAAACGCGATATAATTCTCAGGTTATAATACAAAATGTTTTATTAACTTTTATGCCGTATGCAAGGAATGTAACGTAATATTACAAGGCGAATTGTTTCGAAAACCGGTTAGTAAACAAGATATATTTGAACGCACCTTAAATGGATCAATGATTAAATGAATTACTTAAAAAAAAAAGATAATGAAAAGGCTTTCTGCAGCAGAAAATTACAAGTGATTTATTAACTACAAAAAGAGATACAATAATCTGGCAGTGAAAAAACAACAACAAGATTAGATATAGAGATATAAAGCCATCAATTTTATATTTCTGTCAGAGTTCGTAAAATATGTATATGGTTCTACAATAGTTCTATAAAGAGTTCTGCTCCATAAAAGCAGAATAGAATGATTTTAGTTCAGTAAAGATTAGCGATAATACAGTAATAAGCGACTGGAGACACTAGCAAAATCTCAAAGCTCTGGCCTTTCCAAAAGAGTTCTCAAATAGTTATGAGCATAATAAAACATTTTTCAAAGAGTTCTGGACATTCGCAACGTTGTATGATTTTTAAATCAGTTAAGACTGCCCAAGCGCGTCATATTTTGAGAGAATAAGGCGACATGATAGACGAAATTTTGTAATTCTCGAGCTCTAATTTATTTATTTAAAAATCATATAACGTTGTGAGTGCCCGGAACTCTAGAAAATGGTTTAGTATGTTGAGAACTATATGAAAAATATTTTAAATGAACGAGAACTACAAGATTTCGGCTAGCGTATCATCCTATTCTCTCAAAGTACGGCACGCTCGGGCAGTATTAATTTATTTAAAAATCGTATAACGTTGCTAGTGCTCAGAACTCTTTAGAAAATGTTTTTTATGCTTATAACAATTTGGGAACTCTTTTGGAAAGGCCAGAGCTTTTGAAAGGCAGAGATTTTGATAGCATCTCAAGTCGGTACGCTTATTACTATATTATCACTAACCTTTACTTTATTAAAATCATTCTTTTTTGCTTTTATGGAGCAGAACTCTTTACAGAACTATTGTAGAACTATATATTTTGCGAAATCTGACAATGCACATATATGCATGGAAATCATGTAGGACAAAGTGATACGCAGCGTGAACTTAGCAAATCACTTTGTCCGGAGCCATTTTTTCGCGTTATCCAGCGGAACTATTTATTTTATTTAGCAAGAACTCTAGAACTATTAAAAAGGAAGCCAGAGCTCTCAATAATTTGTGATTTTCCGAAAAATGTTACGCCAATTTCACACACACAATAAGCAGTTGGTTTGACAGTATTGGCGTCCCCTTATCTTCAAAGAAATATTGTCTATTGAACAAATTACGCGTTAGTCAACGACATATATACCTAGACCAAGCATTCTCTCTATAAAATATAACTGGAAGTTGGCAGTTTGAGACAGAAAGGAATAGTTTTGCGTCTATTTCTTTCTCATTCTAGCTTATCTCGATTGTCAAGAGTCGCCATATTTGTATTACAGTTACCAAATTAAGTATATCAGGTGTAGTAAAAAGAAATCCATTATTTTTCCAATAGATGGCTTTAGTTATCTGTATCTCGCGTTGTATAAGTCCGATCGGGTTCCACTAGATGGCGTTAGAAAGATAAGATTTCGTACTAAAAAAACTTTTCTGACAGTTTTGTGATTAGTTGACTCAGTTTTGTTTGAGCGCGCGTCAAAGATGGACACTAGCAAAGCGAAAATACGCTATATTTTACAGTTTTTCTTCGATAAAGGCGAAAACGCAAGCCAGGCGGCTGAAAATGTGAATAATGTTTATGGTCCTCATACTGTAACAGCCAATCACGCGCAATTTTGGTTTCGTCGATTCCGTTCCGGTAATTTCGATGTCAAAGATGCACCACGCACTGGAAGGCCAATTGTCGAAAATATCAATGAAATCATGGACATTGTCAAGTCCGACCGTCATGTAAGCACTGTTTCGATTGCCCAAGAGCTAAAGATTGCACAAAAACCGTTGGGAACCATTTGAATAAGGCTGGATACAAAAAGAAGCTCGATGTATGGGTGCCACATGAGTTAACGCAAAAAAACCTTATGGACCGAATTTCCACCTGCGAATCGCTGCTGAATCGCAACAAAATCGACGCATTTCTGAAGCGGTTGGTCACTGGTGATGAAAAGTGGATCATTTACGACAACGTCAAGCGAAAACGGTCGTGGTCGAATCGCGGTGAGCCGGCGGAAACGGTGGCCAAGCCAGGATTGACGGCCAGGAAGGTTTTGCTGTGTGTTTGATGGGATTGGCAGGGAATTATCTATTATGAACTACTCCCCTACGGCAAAATTCTTAACTCGGAACTGTACTGTCAACAATTGGACCGTCTGAAGGAAGCAATCGCCCAGAAGCGGCCAGCTTTGGCCAATAGGAGAGGAATTGTGTTCCATCAGGACAACGCCAGGCCACACACATCGATAGTGACTCGCCAGAAGCTCCGGGAGCTTGGTTGGGAGGTTCTTATGCATCCACCTTATAGTCCGGACCTGGCATCAAGTGATTACCATCTGTTCCTGTCCATGGCGAACAATTTTGCTGGTGAAATATTCGCTTCAAGAGAGGCTTGTGAAAATCGACTGTCTCAATTTTTTGCCAATAGGGACGAGGGCTTCTATGAGAGAGGCATAATGAAATTACCTTCAAAATGGCAACAAGTTATCAAACAAAACGGCGCATATTTGACCTAAATCGGATCATTCTAACTATGGTAATTAAAGCCTTCAATTTCATGCAAAAATAATGGATTTCTTTTTACTACACCTGATATTTATAGATGAAAGAAAAATATAAAATATATGAAAGAAATATAAAAAATATGTAAAATAAATTTAATATCTCAAAATATATTAAGCAAATAAAAAATGTTCCAGACAAAATTGTTCAAATTAATTGGTAGAAAAAGATAATATAATAAAAAATTTGGATTTCCATTTAAGAAAATCGATAATCAGTAAATATCTCGAAAATGGAGCCATCGACAAACAAAATGCTATTGCTGTCCTATGTCTCCCTTCAAGCTAAACAATTTTTGTCTTAAGCATTTTTCGATTTAACGCAGTGTTTCTGAGATATTTGAGTCCCTTTAAAATGGGACACCCTGTATATCACAGTTAATATTTTACGATATATTTATATGAATATTATTATTATATTTGCATGTGTGTGACTTGCATATACGACTTGAGTGATTTGCATATACTAAGTATCTAAATATGACTTGATTACCAGTGGTTTCCAATACAAAAATATATTTGTTGTTTAGAAGTACGAAAACATATCCATTGCTTTGCGTTATATCATATTTGGGCACATAAAATTTCAACCTCCCAATTCATATAGTTTCAACATTTGTTATTCAAAACCTACTATAGCCTTGGTATTCTTTATGTAGATCAGTGCTTAGAATTAGTTTCACTTTTCAGGCGATTTTTGGAAGTTTTCCTCTCATTTACCTTCCCCTTATTATACACTTTACTACCGAAGACTTTTAACTAGCTAGAAGACTAAAGAAAGGCTTTTCTACTTTATTTGGTCTCAAGAATATATTGTTACAATAATGCCCTATCTTCTATTAACTTATCGACCTTCGGAAATTTCAAAATCATCAAATTAACAAAAGTCAAGGTGCTATTATAACAATATATTCTTGAGATCAAATAAAGTAAAAAATACTAATACCACTTTTTCATCCAACAAACAGTTAACGAGATATCGTAAGTTAAATACTGAAATGTTATCAAGTTTTTTTTAAATATCTCAAAAAATGTTAGGCAAATAAAAAATGTTTTAGACAAAAGTTGTTAAAATTAATCAATAGAAAAAGATGATATAATAAAAAAATAGAGATTTCCGTTTTAAAAAATTAATCTGACCTTAACCTGACCTTAGCAACGCCACTTAACATCAAACTGATAAGGCTAATAGATAGACCTCTTGAAACTCTACAATTTTCATTTATAACGTCTTTCAAAAACTGAATCCCTCTGAGATTTCAGGTTACAGGATATTACTCATCTTTTTGACTCACCCTATATATCCAACAATCGTACTTTCCGTCTTCGTTGATATCATAACATCTAAGAGGCGCTTACCAATAGTTGTAAAATTAGCTATAATTACAGTTACTGATAAAGTCTGGCCATCGGTCGTGCAAGTGGAGTAAGGGAAAGGAAAGGAGAAGTGTGGGGAAATACTGTCTAAAATCGCCTGAAAAGTGAAAGTAATTCCGAGCATTGATGTAAATTATTGTTTCTGTTTAAACTTTGGGAATTATTATATTAATTCAAATCGCGAGAAGCGAGTCTTATGTCAGATTTTTGTCTCCAATCCAGAAATTCATATTCTGACGTCTTGTTTTGATACTTCGTAGCGTGAACTAGAAATTTTATAATTGCAAATATAAGAATATTGAGACATTTAAATTATATTTTTATTCTACGAAAACGAGCATACCCAAAATTTGAAGATTCACTTTATTATGATGAAATTTTCAGTTAGCAAATGTTAAATCGAGATATAGAAAACCCGCAACACAACACGAATATAAAACATCATCGCAGAATATATTATTGATAGAAAATTATTATTTTGATGTCTTCTTTATTTTGTACAAAATTTGTCGGTTTAATTTTTTAACAACTTTCATGCGTGCATGCATGTGTGCGTGTGCGCGCATATATGTATGCATAAGTTACATTATATATATGTGTACATGTATATGTTGCAGATCATTTAGAAAGCAAGGAAAAAATGACATTACAACAATTCGCGGATTTATTGAGTGTAATAACAATCGGCATGTGTTTCGTGTTGAAAATTCCGCAAATATTAAAATTGATGTCCGTGAAATCAGCCGATGAAATATCCACATTAGGATTATTTTTAGAATTAACAAGGTACTTCAAAAATTATCAAATTCACTTTTGCAAATAATTGATCGATCAATTTTATCATCTTTTTTTCCAGTTATACCGTGATGACTAGTTATAATTATACGAACGGATATGCCATACTATCTTACTTGGAGTATCCGATCATACTAATTCAAGAATACATCTTGATATTTCTAGTCTTAAAATATTTAAACAAGATCAATATGTGGGCTTTTATATATTCCCTAATATATTTTACGTTGAGCAGTTGTTTGGTGTTGGAAATTGTACCAAAAGTTGTTCTTACACTCTTAGCAGTTAGTATCTTTTTTTGTGCTGAGATATCTCTCATGAAGGTAATTACCATTTTAACAAATATTTTTGGATCTTTTTAGCCTATGTGCACTCCAATTTCCGCTTCCAGTAAAGTCGTCCAATTACTAGCTATACTTCGAGCTAAGAATGCAGAGTCTGTATCACCTCTTACTTGGTTCATATCTGCCTTTACGAATCTGAGTGAGTTCGCAAATAAAATAATATTTTTTCTTAGTAAATCGAATTTGATAAATAACTATGTTTCAGCTAGAGTATTTACGATATGGATGGACTCGGCTGACATGTTACTCCTGGGAAACTTTATCATCTCGGTGCTGCTAAGTTTCAGCGTCATGTTCTCTGCGCTTTACTACAAACACCGTCCTGTAAAGCATGACTAAGAAAGAAAAATTTATACGATTGGTCTAGCCAAGCGTATCCTATGAAATTGATGACTGTATCCTATATATTTATTTTTATTTTTAATAATTGTAAAATATTTATTTTTCTGATAATATTGTGCATATAAAATAATGCAAATTGCAAATTTTAGTTTTTAATTAAATAATTATAAAATTAAATTATTAATTAATTATAAAATTAAAGAAGAGATTTAGTCGAAAATTATATTTGTCGTATTCGAATCAATTTCATTCCCGTTTCACTGGCCTAATTTACGAGACAATATATTTTGGAAGAACTATAGATGCGAAACTATATTCTATGGGAACGGCGCACACATTTGAAGGATACCATATGTTTTCGATCCACATGGTCATTCTTTTGGATCTCAGTGATCTTCAAAGTTGCACTCTGTCCCATCGTCAAATCACATGGAAATGATAGTGAGTGTAATAATATTTTGCTATAAACAAATTGCTATTGCATCCTAAGAAAGTTTCTATTCAGCGCATATATATGAAAATATTCGTAACTTATAATATTTACCTAAGAAAGATATAACAAAAATATCAATAAACAATGTATATAATAATGATTATAACAAATCTCTAGAAGAATTATGTAATTATTCAGATGTCAATCTTTTATCTTAAGTAGAAAGTTGACATCTATATTAAAACACAACACGTAATCAGCAAGATATAAAAATTCAATGAATCCATGCTAAGCTGCGATTTGAAGACCACTGATTCATTCCACCCCCACCGGGCCTTTCTCATCTGGCGAGTCGCCGGCATGTTAGATGAAACGTGGTCTGGATAGTCGGTACCAAGAAGGCGCGCAGGCATCATAATCGTCAGTATCTCTCTCGCTTGGAAGAGCGAGAGAGCGCCAGTGAGGCGGTGGGTGCGGAAGGAAGACGAGTGTAAAAAGGAAGAAAGAAAGTATAAGAATCCCTCGGGACAAAGCTATAGGAGAAGGTGTTGATTTTCTGTTGCTGGCGGGATGCGGTCACTGGCGATCCTGGTCGGGCTCCTGCTGGTCATTCGGCTCTCCAGGTGCGAGATCTTGACGCCACCGTATTTCAACCTAGCCGAGGGCAAGGAGATTGTTGCCTCAGCCACATGCGGTGTCGATACCACTGGTCCAGAGCTTTATTGTAAACTTGTTGGCGCAAATGCAGACCAGGACGAAGATATCAATTTGATTCAAGGACAGGTACGAATAATTATACCAAAAGATATCCGAAGCGTATATAACGTAATGCAATATATTATACATAGAAAGATATATCTTCTAATAATCCTATAATCGAAATTATAGCGAGATTCATTTGTTCAAAATTGAAGCGTGCGAGCGCGCGCGCGTGTGTGTATGTATAACGAGAATGAGAGCGGAATATTAAAAAAATCTTCCGTTATCATGAAGAAGGATAAGTGGATTGAATTTTACAATTGAAAGGATTTTAGAAATTGTCATGTTTTAAATTTATATTTAATATAATTACAGCGATATTAATATAGGCAACGAGAGAGAGAGAAGTTATTTAATATTTGTCTAATATTCTCGCGCGTTAAGGAGATTGTGATATTTTCATCTCCAGTATTCACATTGAGGTTTTTTACCATTGAATTCTGTAAGTCCAAGAGTTTATCGGTTACGAGGCATCGACCCGTTTATTCTCTACTTCCTTTTCTTCTTCTCTTCTTTTGTGTAAAAAATATGTATCGCGTAAACATTTAAAATGATCTGCCGAATGTGACTTTCCTCTATCTTGAAACCTCGATAAGAGAGAAATAATTATCTATTACTTTGGAATACATGAATGATACTGTTCGTGAAAGATCGTTTTTATCAATTGGTCATTGAATACAAAGGTGTTTATTAATCAAAATCGCATACCTTTCTTGTTATGATATATGAATTATGAAAAATTACATCATATATATTATACAAAATTGCGCAAGTATATGTGTATGTATTAAACATATATATTAACATGTATATATATTAAATATTATATACATATATATATATAACATTTAATTATATAGATACATATATATATCCAGGAAAAAGAACCATATAAATTTATTCATAACCATACGTAATCATATATGTATAATTATATATGCTCATGATAAAAAAAATGCTGTTATACAAATACAATCAAAGTAAAAGCTTATGATTTTAGCAACATATGATGTCAACGTTTATTTGAATATAACTATTTCTTCTTTTTTTCATATTTAACATCATTCTTTTTTTCATGCAGACATATGATTGTATATGTGGCCATATATGGACAAACTTATATATAATTTATTTACAATTGTATATAATTTTATATAATTATATATAATCATATATGATCTTTTTCTCCCGAGTATATATTTTAAATATCTTAATTAAAATTTATAAATATTTCAGTTAGGAAAATTGCTATGTCAAGAACTAAAAAATATAACTAAAAACTTAAATAAAAGAATTATAGAATTCTTTTACTTAAGAATTTTTATTTAAGAATTATAGAATATGGAATAAGAATTTTAAAATTTCTGTGTAATCTTCGTATACTCTAAGAGATCATAGTTGTACCGTTCCAAAATGATCACCATTCTCCAATGCTTTTCTGAAATTACGGGTCAGCATTCTATTAACGTTTTTTGAAAAAAGAATTTGTCGACAAGTCAGAACAAAGGACACGCGGCTTCCTTAAAGAAGATCCAGCCAAGAAAACCAGTTCGCGTAGGATTTATCATTGTATTCTCACTATGCGACAGACTCGCAGGATCAGTGTAATATTTTCTATAGTGACGATTCTTTCGAATTTAATTAGAAATACGCGTTGTGAATTTAATGCGTTCATCATGAATATAAATAACTCGCGCGTATTATGTGTGTATCGATATAATTTCGCTGCGATATTAATAATGCATGATTTGTTAGATCTGACAATTTTAATTCGCACTCGTAATTATAAAATATTCAGTGAGGACTGTTTCATCTATATTCATATTTTAATTGCCGCACCGGACATAGCATATGAAGCAGATTAACAATACTAACTTGGCCCTTCTTGAACTGTTAATATTTAGATCACGAGGCTGTAATTCACAACGTCGTCGTGTCCGCGTACCTATTTCGAGCGCAGAAAAAAGTGACATCGCGTAAATTAGAAGTAAGAAGACCGATAATATATAAGATAAGGATGACCCCTCGATAACATTCGATCTCGTTTATATGTCCGAAATTAAGACGCTTTCTATAACATCAATGGCTTATATTAGAAGTAATACTATTTGTCAAGTTTTGAAGCTCCGAATAACTCGACTTTGAAACCTCGATTTTTTAAATTCTATTCAAAGATTTGAAATATGGAAGTTCTTAATAAAATTCATCAAAGATTTGAAATATGGAAGTTCTTAATAAAATTAATCTTGGCGAGTGCAACAAGATACTGTGCAATTAATATTGTTCAGATATTTGATTATTTGAAAATTCTCTATTCAAAATTTCGTTGTTTGAATATAATGCTTGAAATATAATGCCATAAAAATTTGAAACTTGGAAGCTTCGAATAAATAAAGCTTCGAATATAATTTACAGCTTCAACGTGTATAAGTTTTAAGAGTTTCACTCGCTTGGACAATTTCTTGAAATTGCTTTCTTAAGTTAGTAATCGTGATTATAAACATTTTGTTAATGAGAAATTTTCCTTTCGAAGAAATCTAATTTTTTCTGTTATCTCACATGTAGAAAAGCAACCTTTTGAAATTACAGTTTATTGATTTATTTATCCTTTCTCTTCCTATATACTGTTATAAATTTTGTCTGTTCAAAGGTATGCGATTATTGCGATCCTGATAACCCCGAGAAGAGACATCCGCCTGAATATGCAGTCGATGGTATGGAGACTTGGTGGCAATCACCACCGTTATCTAGGGGGATGAAATATAACGAGGTTAATTTGACGATCAACCTGGGACAGGTAAGTTTTAATTGCGTGAAGTTTAAAAATTATTAAAAATTATATATTGAAAAATTTTTTAATGCTCATTAAAAAGAAATCTATGACGACAGGAAATGATGAGACATGGCAGTCTTTTATCGGCGACATAAACATTCTATCATTCGCGTAGGCGTTTTCCTGCAAGTGGGAAGATTTATCGTTGGTCGTTTCCGGAGAACAATGAGCAAATCAACTTTCATATCTATCTTGAATTTTATAAAAATTATTAGTTCTACTATATTATTATTTGCGTGTTGTTATTTACAATAAATCAAAAAATGTTTTAGTGTTTATTATATAATTATATAGATGAAAATCGCGACATATTCCGTAAAATTAATTGTAATAATTAATCAATTGTACATATAATTTAATATTTGCGCGAGGTAATTAACTGTTACCGAGAGCGCAAACTGCTTTCGTAAGTATGAAATGCGTGCGATATTTGTCGCCCCTTCGCTAATAACCTTCGTAGAAAATTTTATTTACGTCTTCTTCGTTCCATGTCTCTTCTCCCCGCTTCCCCCTCTCTCTCTCTTTCTCTCTCACTCGCTCTTCTCTTTCACCTCTCGTTCCTCCTAGCTTTTGCTCTCCTTCTTTCTTCTTGCACCTTCTAGTTTTCTGTTAATAATTCGCTTGTATAAATTATTTTTCGATTGATATCGATTGATATCGATTGATATTGATTGTTGCCTGTTTTTCTCGTCATCTTCAACATTTTATTCCGCTATTTATTATACTTTTCAATCTTTCATAAAACTATTGTTTCAATAAATTAACTTTATCTCTTCTTCCTCATTCTCGACTTCGTCCATATGTCCATGGTCTTCATAAATATTCATAGAGCATGGAGAATAGCGTATAGCGCACATCTGGCGTTCACTTCTTGGTTTTTACTCTTGATCGTATTATTTTGACTGAAACAACAAGAATGGGTTCTCATATATATCGCGGATATAAAGGCTCAAACAGCAGAGCAGCAATAGATTTCAGATGCAACAGTAATAGGTTTTCTTTGTGAGAAAGGAAAGATCAAGATAACGCAAGTGAAATTACGAAAATTTTTGATTATAATTTGTTCGAGTCTAAATGAATTCTTTTCTTATATATCTTTTCTCTATTTTTGTCCCCAGGAATTCCATGTGGCTTACGTTTACATGCGAATGGGCAACTCTCCTCGGCCGGGACTTTGGGTCCTAGAGAAATCAAAGGACTACGGCAAGACTTGGTCACCCTGGCAGTACTTCTCGGACTCCGCCAGCGATTGTCTCACGTACTTCGGTGTGGACAGTCATAAGCCGATTATTCGGGACGACAGCGTGATCTGCACGACTGAATTTTCGCAAGTGGTCCCGCTCGAGGGTGGCGAGATTCCGATCTCAATCCTAAACAACCGACCTTCAGCAAAGCACTACTTCAATTCGACTCTACTGCAGGAATGGACGAGGGCAACTACTGTCCGTTTCCGCTTTCTTAGGACGAAGAACTTGTTAGGCCATCTGATGTCCGTGGTTCGTCAGGATCCTACCGTTACCAGAAGAGTGAGTATCATCAATCATCTTCACGCTTAAAATTTCCTTAGTATTGTACGTTATGATAAATTATCAATGTTTTATTAAGTATTAATGATAACTCGATAAAAAGTTTTTGTTTAGTAATGCAAGGACATTCCGATTAGCAACAATTCTTTTGATAAAAGTAAAGAATGGGTCTTAATTTACATGCTTTCCGATCGAACAAAACAATATAACAGGAAATATTATCATAGCATAGAAAAAGAATGTTTTCTAAATAAATTTTTGATAGGTGTCATAAATTCCTACAAAAAAATAACATCAGAAAATTAATAATAATATTAAAAAGTTACGCATACTCGAAGTAAAAAATTACATATTGAAAATAATGTTCTTTTATTTTAAATTTATAGAATATTTTAACACAATTACTATAAAATATGTGTACAATTTATTGAAATTTGTGATTTAGTGCGTATGCGTGCGCGCATATGTGTGTGTATATATATGTGTGTGCGTTCTTTTGGCTCCTGATTTTTGTTCAAAATTTTTACCGTTGAAAAATCTTCGAAATGAGCTAAAACATTAGATAAATGTTTATCAACGCTAGCTTTGACTATTTGTTCTGGGTGTCTAAGACCACTCGTACATCCCTTTTCTTTCAAAAATTAACTTTTTGGAGAAAAATGTTTTAGACAAAAATTGTATGGTTTCAAGGAAGACATAAAACAACTACAGTCTGTAAAGTAAGAGCGTGCACGGCATACCATAAATGGCAGTTGGCTTCAAATATCGTCCTAGTTTTTTTGTGAGCCGATAGATGAAACCTTTGTCGTGAATGCTTTGTCACAAAAGATTCAGTTGGCGTCGAACTCTAACTTGAGAAACACGTTAACCGCCATGAGTGCCGTATAAGCATCACGCTACGAGGCTGTGTTCCTTTGTTCCCACCCCAAAGGACCAAAAATGTCATATGCAGTGGCTGCTAAATACATGGGAAAGTCAAAATCGTTCGTCGCTAAGTGGGTTCAGCAATATAAGAAGATCAAAAATGTCGATGACTTGCCAGAACGTGGCTCGATAGGCAAAGTGATGCCGAATATGGAAAATAGAATATGGAAAAAAAAATTGTGAATTTGTTTAAGTGGAACCCGACCTTAATGCTTAAAATTTATGAGAAGTGTTTGTTGCCAACTGCTGAACGATGTTTCATAAAAAAAACGAGGACTGGATCTTACAGGAAGACAACGACCCAAAACACCGGAGCAAGCTTTGCACTGAGTGGAAAGAGCAGTCTGCCATTGTCACACTTGATTGGCCATCGCAGTCGCCAGATGCAAATCCCATTGAAAATGTGTGGGCATATCTCAAGCATAAGCTTCGAGGAAAAAGAGTCTGCACTTTGAAGCAGCTGACATGACAAATTCGTCTCATTTGGAGGTCTTTACTGAACGAATACGCAGTCAACTTAATGGAAAGTATGCCTCGGAGATGCCAGGCAATTATCAATGCTGGTGGTGACTGGACTCATTATTAATGATATAGCATTTTTCTTCTCATGGAGTACAACAAATCTATGTAATTAAAAATCATTAAAAATAAATTTTTCTATACATTAACCCGTGTACGCTCTTACTTTACAGACTGTATATGGTTTGTTTACAGATGGCGCCTTTCGAGATATTCACTGATCATTACTTTTCTTAAATGGAAACCCCAATTTTTTATTATATCATCTTTATCAATTAATTTTAATAATTTTCGTCTGAAACATTTTTTTATTTACCTAATATTTTTTGAGATATTTAAGGAAAACTTGGTAATTTTTTCAGTATTTATTTTTCAGTATATTTAACTTACGATATCTTGCTGTTTGTTGGAAGGAAAAATGGTACTAGACTTTTTTATTCTACTTGGTCTCAAGAATATATTGTTACAATAACGCCCTGACTTTTGTTAATTTGATGATTTTGAAATTTCCAAAAGTCAATAAGTTAACAAAAGTTAGGGCACTATTGTAACAATATATTCTTAAGACTAAATACAGTAAAAAAGTCTAGTACTATTTTTTTTCCGACAAATAGTTAACGAAATATCGTGAACTAAATCTTGAAAATGTTACCAAGTTTTCCTGAAACATCTAAAAAAATATTAGGCAAGTAAAAAAATGTTTCAGACAAAAGTTGTTAAAATTAATTAGTAGAAAAAGATGATATAATAAAAAATTTAAGTTTCCAAGAAAAGTAATGATCAGTGAATATCTCGAAAATGGCGCTATCTGTAAATAAACTGTATAGTTTGTATATATATTGGGTGTACAAATTAGTTCGGTTCGTTTTCAAAAGATGGCTCCGGCTGTTATGAATGGTTCATAGTGACTGCCGATTTTGACGGTTTCAGAGAGGTTAGACATCTGCCAATAATATTCAGTTTATATCGCTTTGAGTTTCATACAAAAACCTTGCTTTTTACAGTGTTGAAAATGTCGAATTTTGTGTTAACCAAGCAGCATTTGCGGGAGGTTTTAATTTTCTGCTTTAATTGGAAGAAAAGTGCAGCTGTGCAGCAAATGAAGCCCATCGAATGCTTGTTGAAGTTTATGGTGACGCTGCTCCAACTGATAAATCATGTAGGGAATAGTTTCGACGTTTCAAGGATAGAGATTTCAACGTCGAAGACAAGTCTCGCTCTGGACAGCCAAAAAAATTCGAGGACAAAGAATTAGAGGCATTACTCGAAGGAGATCAGAGTCAAACGCAAGAGGAGCTTGCAGAATCATTGGGAGTGACTCAACAAGCCGTTTCCGTACGATTGAGAGACATGGGATTTATTCAAAAACAAGGAAATTGGGTGCCTTATAAACTGAAACCGAGAGACGTTGAAAGGCGATTTTTCACTTGCGAGCAGCTGATTTAAAGGCAACAAAAAAAGGTTTTTTGCATCGGATTGTAACTGGAGATGAGAAGTGGATATTCTACGACAACCCCAAGGAGAAAAAATATTACGCCAAGCCCGGTCAATTGTTGCCATCGACCTTAATATCAACACCAAAGCCGAACATACATGATTTGAAGATCATGCTCTGTATGGTGGTGACCAAAAGGGTGTTGTTTACTATGAGCTGCTGAAACCTGGAGATCCCATTACGGGCGATCGGTATCGGCTACAATTGATTCGTTTGAGCCGTGCATTGCGAAAGAAACGACTAGAATACGAGCAAAGACATGATAAAGTTTTTCTTCTTCATGACAACGCTCGGCCTTATGTCGCAAAAGTCGTAAAAAAATATTTGGAAACGCTCAAATGGGACGTTTTACCGCACCCGCCGTATTCTCCGGACATTGCTCCTTCTGATTACTAGTTGTTCCGAAGGATACGGCACGATTTGGCAGGTCACCGGTTCACTTCTTTCGCAGAAATCGAAAATTGGCTCCCTTGAAACCATACAACTTTTGTCTGAAACATTTATCTCTACAATCAAAAAGAAAAAAGAAAGTTATTGGAGTGAATAACTTAAAATGACTCACTCTGTACATGCGATTGGGAGTACACCTATATTTTCTGTTGTTAAGTAATCAGAAAAAAGCCTAAAATATATTTCTTCGGTCTGTCTTACACATTTCGTTCTACCGTATATCTCGCGCATTCACGCGAATTGATACACGAATTTTGTTTTATCAATAATTTCAATAATTACCATGATAACTTATAAAATTATAAATTTTTCTATACCGTTTAACAAGTTCCATATCTATACATGACCACGCGGACAACTTGGTTCAAATAGTCTGCATATTTTATGCTGCTCTTTACTTCCTGCTTTCTATTTTTTTATTTTTTACGTCATCTGATGGAATAAGAAATAAAAAGACGTTACAAAACTTAATTGACAATGACGACAATGGAAATGATGTTTGCTAATCAAGAACTTGACAATTTCAAACTTTATGCTAGAATATCATATATCCGCCTATAAAGCATATAGAGTAAGAATAGTAATATGGTTTCGTATGTAATTGGACACCGAGATATCGGTTTAACTCAGAGCTCAGTCGGATCAGCCGTTACGGCAATACACGAGAGATAATCTTTCTTTTTCTTAATTAAAGACATCGTATAAGTACGATGACCATATATACAGGGTGTGGTAAAAGTCTGGAAACGTTCAACTATCTCTTAAAAAATGAATTTTAGAAAAAAACGTTTTAAACAATAGTTGTAAGGTTTAAAAAGACGCATTCAAAGGTATCCGCTTGATCTTGGGTGGCGTTGCCAAAGTCAAGTCAAGGTCAACCTGATATTTGTAAATGGAATTCCCCACTTTTTATTACATATTCTTATAGTTTACCTCGAGAGCTTTTCAAAACACTATAACAAAGTTTTTTTTCGTTAAGTACTTTCCGAGTTATGAGGCACGAAGGTTGTAATACCGCCGACATTAGCATTATCCAAGATGTACCGCGTGAAGGTTGCACGGTTGGATTTACATCTCATGTGTGCATGTGTAAAAAAGTGAGTGAGTGAGCGATTGAATGAGTATGCGTCTACAAATATAAATGTTCAAATTGTTGACCTTCTTCAATTTGACACTGAAGCAGTCGATCATGAAAGCTCCTACAAACATTTTCCAATGTTTCGGAGGTAGTTAATGTCACTTCAGTGGTAATTCGGTGTCGCAAATCATCCAAATTTTGAGGATTTGTTTTGTAAACGCGGTCTTTCAAATATTTTCGGTTTAAATTTTGATACAGTTTGGTTCAGTAGTATAGTGCCCCTCCACATTTTGGATTGCAGGTACGACAGTTTTTAAATGACACTTTTCCTGATAGATTGTTAGGAAGGAGGGGACCAATCGAGTGGCCATCCCAATTACCTAATATGAATTCCTTAGATTTTTTCTTTTGGGGTTATTTAGAAGATTGCGTTTACAAAACAAAAAACCTCAAAATTTGGATGATTTGCGACACCGAATTACCACTGAAGTGGCATTAATTACCTCCGAAACATTGGAAAATGTTTGTAGGAGCTTTCATGATCGACTGCTTCAGTGTCAAATTGAAGGTCAACAATTCGAACATTTATATTTGTAGACGCATACTCATTCAATCGCTCACTCACTCACTTTTTTACACACGCACGCACATACACACGCACACACGAGATGTAAATTCGACCGTGCAACCTCCACGCGGTACATCTTGGGTAATGCTAATGTCGGCGGTACTGCAATCTTCGTGCTACATAACTCGGAAAATACTTAACGAAAATAAACTTTGTTATAGTGTTTTGATAAGCTCTCGAGGTAAGCTATAAGAATATGTAATAAAAAGTGGGGAATTCTATTTACAAATATCAGGTCGACCTTGACCTGACCTTGCCAACGCCACCCAAAGTCAAGTGGATATTACCATTAAATGCGTCTTTTTAAACCTTACAACTTTCATCTGAAACGTTTTTTCTAAAATTCATTTTTTAAGAGATATTTAAATGTTTTCAGACTTTTGCCACACTCTGTATAATTGTCCTCGTTCCGTGCGTGCACATAATACACGATACTATCGTATTTCTAGTTCTATATATCAGGTGTAGTAAAAAGAAATCCATTATTTTTGCATGAAATTGAAGGCTTTAATTACCATAGTTAGAATGATCCGATTTAGGTCAAATATGCGCCGTTTTGTTCGATAACTTGTTGCCATTTTGAAGGTAATTTCATTATGCCTCTCTCATAGAAGCCCTCGTCCCTATTGGCAAAAAATTGAGACAGTCGATTTTCACAAGCCTCTCTTGAAGCGAATTTTTCACCAGCAAAATTGTTCGCCATGGACAGGAACAGATGGTAATCACTTGGTGCCAGGTTCGGACTATAAGGTGGATGCATAAGAACCTCCCAACCAAGCTCCCGGAGCTTCTGGCGAGTCACTATCGATGTGTGTGGCCTGGCGTTGTCCTGATGGAACACAATTCCTCTCCTATTGGCCAAAGCTGGCCGCTTCTGGGCGATTGCTTCCTTCAGACGGTCCAATTGTTGACAGTACAGTTCCGAGTTAAGAATTTTGCCGTAGGGGAGTAGTTCATAATAGATAATTCCCTGCCAATCCCATCAAACACACAGCAAAACCTTCCTGGCCGTCAATCCTGGCTTGGCCACCGTTTCCGCCGGCTCACCGCGATTCGACCACGACCGTTTTCGCTTGACGTTGTCGTAAATGATCCACTTTTCATCACCAGTGACCAACCGCTTCAGAAATGCGTCGATTTTGTTGCGATTCAGCAGCGATTCGCAGGTGGAAATTCGGTCCATAAGGTTTTTTTGCGTTAACTCATGTGGCACCCATACATCGAGCTTCTTTTTGTATCCAGCCTTATTCAAATGGTTTCCAACGGTTTTTGTGCAATCTTTAGCTCTTGGGCAATCGAAACAGTGCTTACATGACGGTCGGACTCGACAATGTCCATGATTTCATTGATATTTTCGACAATTGGCCTTCCAGTGCGTGGTGCATCTTTGACATCGAAATTACCGGAACGGAATCGACGAAACCAAAATTGCGCGTGATTGGCTGTTACAGTATGAGGACCATAAACATTATTCACATTTTCAGCCGCCTGGCTTGCGTTTTCGCCTTTATCGAAGAAAAACTGTAAAATATAGCGTATTTTCGCTTTGCTAGTGTCCATCTTTGACGCGCGCTCAAACAAAACTGAGTCAACTAATCACAAAACTGTCAGAAAAGTTTTTTTAGTACGAAATCTTATCTTTCTAACGCCATCTAGTGGAACCCGATCGGACTTATACAACGCGAGATACAGATAACTAAAGCCATCTATTGGAAAAATAATGGATTTCTTTTTACTACACCTGATATACTTAATTTGGTAACTGTAATACAAATATGGCGACTCTTGACAATCGAGATAAGCTAGAATGAGAAAGAAATAGACGCAAAACTATTCCTTTCTGTCTCAAACTGCCAACTTCCAGTTATATTTTATAGAGAGAATGCTTGGTCTAGGTATATATGTCGTTGACTAACGCGTAATTTGTTCAATAGACAATATTTCTTTGAAGATAAGGGGACGCCAATACTGTCAAACCAACTGCTTATTGTGTGTGTAAAATTGGCGTAACATTTTTCGGAAAATCACAAATTATTGAGAGCTCTGGCTTCCTTTTTAATAGTTCTAGAGTTCTTGCTAAATAAAATAAATAGTTCCGCTGGATAACGCGAAAAAATGGCTCCGGACAAAGTGATTTGCTAAGTTCACGCTGCGTATCACTTTGTCCTACATGATTTCCGTGCATATATATTGTCAGATTTCGCAAAATATATAGTTCTACAATAGTTCTGTAAAGAGTTCTGCTCCATAAAAGCAAAAAAGAATGATTTTAATAAAGTAAAGGTTAGTGATAATACAGTAATAAGTGTACCGACTTGAGATGCTATCAAAATCAAACAAAACTGAGGCAACTAATCATAAAACTGTCAAAAAAGTTTTTTTAGTATGAAATCTCATCTTTCTAACGCCATCTAGTGGAACCCGATCGGACTTATACAGCGCGAGATACAGATAACTAAAACCATCTATTGGAAAAATAATGGATTTTTTTTATTACACCTGATAATTCATGATTAACCCATTAACGCCCAAAATTCCTAAAATATTAGCCTTACTTTGCAACTATATTTTATGTAGAGAAACATATTATATAAGGTTCGAATAATATTTCCTTATGTTTTCGGGGTCGTTCTACAAGATTCCGGCATCAGAATTCGTTTAGATTCACAATAAAATCCAATATAGCGGAATCTTTGGAAAAAGTCATAAAAAATCGACAATTTTATTTTTTATAAGATTGATTTCGTATCAAAAACGTTACTTTGATACAGATACAAGTGTCACATCTTGTCTCAAAAATGTTGAACTTTCAAGATATGCATTGGTGAAAATGTGAATTCAAGATGGCTGCCTCAAAATGGCGGTTTGAACGAAAAAAGCTTAAAAATAGTGTATTTTTAGAATAACTTCGCAAAATTCTAGTATTTAGCATCAATTTCTAGATCCTGTGTAGAGTAGCAGGCCCGCGATGTCCGACCACTGTGCATTTATTCGCTCATTTATTTAATAATTTTTCTCAAAACTTTACGTAGTCGATTCAAATTTTTTTCCCGTCCGTTGTACTTATCTCGATATTTCTTGTTTTTTATAAAGTTTGTAAGTTTATAATTACCCACTCTGTATATGTGCGTGCGTACGTCTCGAAAATAATTCACGAATATGAAAATAAGAAGAAAATTCGTGAAAATCTGGAAATTTTCACGATTATTCGTGTCTTTTAGTCGCCATTTTGGATTCGCCATTTTGAAATTCTCTAATATGAATTAGTTGTCAGCAAATATCCTAAAATCAGTACGTTGGATACTAAATTGATGTTAAACACTAGAATTTTGCGAAGTTATTCTAAAAATACGCTATTTTTAAGCTTTTTTCGTTCAAACCGCCATTTTGAGGCAACCATTTTGAATTCACATTTTCACCAATGCATATTTTGAAAGTTCAACATTTTTTTGATAAGATGTGACACTTGTGTTTGTATCAAAGTAACGTTTTTGATACGAAATCAAGCTTATAAAAAATAAAATTGTCGATTTTTTACGACTTTTTCCAAAGATTCCGCCATATTGGATTTTATTGTGAATCAAAACGAATTCTGATGCCAAAATCTTGTAGAACGACCCCGAAAACATAAGAAAATACTATTCGAACCTTATATAATATGTTTCTCTACATAAAATATAGTTGCAAATTAAGGCTAATATTTTAGGACTTTTGAGCGTTAATGGGTTAAAGTCCCAATAAAAATGTTATCAAAGATATTAGATTTTACAATCTGATTTCTGAAAAATATAATTTATGTTGCAGTATTTTTATTCAATTAAAGACATCAGCATCGGCGGTCGTTGCATGTGTAACGGACACGCTGATACTTGCGATGTTCAGGATCCTAATATGCCAAAAAAACTGGTCTGTCAGTGCCAACATAATACTTGTGGACCTCAATGCGCGACGTGTTGCAAAGGCTTTGAACAGAAAAAATGGCGACAGTCTACGGCGTCCAAGAAATTCAAGTGCGAGCGTAAGAGAATAGTTTGTCTCACGTACACGTTGCCAGGCCAATCGTTGATACTTTTTGCCATTAACGACAAATGCGAAAATACTCCGTAGCCTGCAACTGCTTTGGACACTCAGACGAATGCATCTACGATCCGGAAACCGACGAGAAGCATTTATCGTTGGATATTCACGGTAATTACGAGGGCGGCGGTATCTGCCAAAATTGCAGGGACAATACCGAAGGCATCAACTGTAACCGTTGTAAACCGAAGTTCTACAGGCCACGAGATAAGCCTCTGAACGCGACTGACGTATGCCAATGTAAGCAAAAACCCGAGTCTAAATTAATTCCGACACTTTTGAACGTTAGACATTTGACAAAAAAAAACTTATTGCATGTTTAACCAGCTTGTGACTGTGATTACTTCTATTCAACGGGAAATTGCGCGGACTCCACCGGTAGGTGCGAGTGCCGAAAAGAGTTTACACCACCAAATTGTGACTCCTGTAACTACGGATACTTCGGCTATCCCAATTGCAGACCATGCGAATGTCACTTGCCGGGTACCGACGGTTACCACTGTGAAGCGACGGACGGTTATTGCCCTTGCAAATTGAACTACGCCGGTCACTACTGCAATCTCTGCGCGGAGGGATACTACAACTTTCCCGAGTGCCTACGTGAGTGAATCTCTTCAATAAATTTTTGATGTTATCAGTTGGATTTTACACAATTAGACTTAATGTTCATTTTACTTTCTGATATGATAAACAGCCAGCAAGAAAAAAATTATTACTGCTATTAATCATTCTACTACTATTGATATTATTATAACAGTATTCAATAACATGTAACGTAATGTTTTAAAATATACAGGGTGTCCCAAAAGTAACGGACCACCCTAATAACTCTTCAGTATTGAAGTTTCAAGGAAAATGATTAAGTAAAAGTTGTAGGAATTTAAATGAGCTACCTTATGGTGACCTTCACTTTGATCTTGACCTCTATTTTCAAGGTCATTTGAAGGTCAACTTGCGTTTTTTAAATGGAAACCCTTATTTTTTATTACACTTTTTTTCTACTAATTAATTTGAACAACTTTTGTCTAAAACATTTTTTCATTTGTCTAATATTTTTTTAGATATTTGAGGAAAACTTTATAACTTTTTCAATATTTAACTTACAATATCTCGTTAACAATTTGTCGGAAGAAAAGGTGGTACTAGACTTTTTTGCTTTATTTAGTTTCAAGAATATATTACAAGAATATATTATTACAATAGCGTCCAGACTTTTGTTAACTTACTGACTTTTGGAAATTCCAAAATCGTGAAATTAACAAAAATCAGGGCGCTATTGTAACAATATATTCTTGAGACTAAATAAAGCAAGAAAGTCTAGTACCACTTTTTCTTCCGGCAAATAGTTAGCCGAGATATCGTAAGTTAACTATTGAAAAAGTTATCAAATTTTCCTCAAATATCTCAAGAAATGTTAGATAAATAAAAAAATATTTTAGACAAAAGTTATTCAAATTAACTAGTAGAAGAAAACAGTGTAATAAAAAATAAGGATTCCTATTTAAAAAACATAAGTTGACCTTCAAATGATCTTGAAAATAGAGGTCAAGGTCAAAGTCAAGGTCATCATGCGGTAGCTTAAATTCTTACAACTTTTATTCAGATCATTTTCCTTGAAACTTCAATACTGTAAAGTTATTAGGATGATCCGTTATATTTGGGACACTCTGTATAGTACTTAATGTATACTATATCATTGTGAACAAACTTAGACATTAATTTGGACATTTTAGTAATGTCGAAGTTAGAAGTGTTATATCGTTATAATTCATATTGCACCTCTTTAACATCCTGGCAATGTTTATGTTTGGCAGATAATATTGAATAAATGATATAATTTTATATTAATTTTATATTAGTGTGGATATTGGAATATTATCATAGCAACATCAAAGTAATGTTAATTCTAATATTTATTTAAAATTTTATTGTGCTACTGTGATATTTTATTTCGGCTACGTTTTCAACAGATTCTCAAAATATATTGGTAAAATACTTAAAAATATATTGCGAAATATAATTAAAATTAATGAAAGAATGTAAAAAAACGAATTCTTTTTGAGAAACTGTATTTCTGTCAGTTATTAAAAATATTAATTCCATCATTCTTAATTTTTTAACATTACTTCCATTAGTATTTTTCTCGCAAATATTAAACGTACTAAATTTTATGTATATTAACTTGCATATGTTGTATTGGGACTCATTGTTGCAGAAACGAATACATCTTGATAATTTTATAGTTTGAGCAATAAAATATTTAACGACTTCGTTACGTAGTCAAGTTGTTGTTGTATAAATTAACGAATAAATTAACAAAAAAGTGTACCTAAAAAAGTGTTTATATTGTATATCGTTTACGATGAAATTAGGTATATAATTGATTTTTTCTCTATGTGTACAAATATTCTAATGTATTATATTTTCTTTTAATAAATATATCGCGATAACATTATAAAAATTTTTCTATTTATGTTTTTAAAATATTTTAAGAATATTTCGAAAGTCGTGTTATTACATAATGTTTTAAAATATATGAAAATGATCAAATATTATAATATCAACATTTAAAGAAGTAGATTTAATATTTCTTATTTATTAAGCATCTAACTATACTTTTAACAGTTACTACACTAGCAGTTTACTTCTGGATCATTATTTTAACAATTAAGTTATTTTTAATTAATTATAAATTAACATTTGAGCATTATAACAATTAATAAATTTAAGTTATTTATTTGTTAAACAATGTTGAAGAGGGTCCAAAAATTAAGATCGAAATGTTCGTATAAATTGTAATAAAACTTCATTTGAAGTTTCAGTAAAATTTCATATAAGGCACGATTATTTTCATTATTAAAGATTCGCTCATTATTTTTATATGCTTTTTTATTTTTCAAAATATCTATCTCATAGTTTTCAGTTATGCGAATAACTGAAATTTTACGTCAACTTTTACGATTTCAGCATGCAGTTGCAATCCTCTGGGCGCTCTGAACGACTTATGTGACGTAGTGTCTGGTAACTGCACATGCAAGAATAACTACGGCGGTAGAACATGCGATATTTGCGAGAATGGATATTTCAATTATCCCTTCTGCACATGTACGTTAAAATATTCAGAATATTCTAGGCATATGTGACTATTTTGATTAAGATTTTGTGCACCAATCACCTTCCTCAGATTGCAACTGTGACCCTCGCGGAACTGAATTCAGCATTTGCGACAAGCAAGACGGCGTTTGTCTGTGCAAAGAAGGATATGGCGGTACTAGATGCGATATATGTATCCCCGGATACTATGATTATCCCAATTGTAAACCGTGCAATTGCAGTGTCGTTGGCTCGTCCACTGTTAGCTGCGATTCCTCAGGCAAATGCTCGTGTCTTGCCAATTTCGCCAGTAGAACTTGCGATCAGTGCAGCCCAGGATATTATAAGTACCCGGAATGTATTCGTACGTAACCCGCATTAAAACTCTCCGATATTATTAGATCATTAAATATAAAATGTCCGATTTTGAATCAAAAGTTTGGCTTATATCTCAAACTATAAATAGTACAATTAATTAAAGTATGCACTTAAACTATCGACAGTTCTGCCATTTTAACGGTAACTTATTTATGCCAGCAGCGAAGAAGCCTGAAGAGCAGGTGACGATGAAATCGTGAAAGACGTTTTTCAACTCGTTCAGAATTGAATATATTTCCTTGTAAGAAGTGGTCCAGTGCTTGGAAAAAGTAGTAGTCAGGTGGTACAAGGTCTGGTGAATATAGTGGGTGACAGAGAGTTTCCAGGTTCAGTACCTGTAATTTGAGCAATGTTGTTTGTGCGACTTGTAGTCGAGCGATGTCTTGCAAGAGGATTGGCCTGTCTCTATTGACCAATCTTGGCTGCTTAATCGCAAGCATCCTCATCATTTCGTCCAGTTGATTACAGTAGACATTCGCTGTAATCGATTGACTAGGTTTCATGAAGCTAAGTGGATAATACCACTGGATCATCAAACAGACACTATTAACTTTCTTTTGTGAATATTCGATTTCGGACTGTGTTTCGGCATTTCATCTATATTCAACCATTGTGCCGAACATTTGCGATTATCGAAAAGAATCCACTTTTCATCACACGTAACAATACGATGTAAAAATGGTTCGCCTTTATCTCGTGATAGTAAAGAGAGACAAGCTTTAAGACGATTTTCCTGACGCTCGTTTAATTCATTCGGAACCCGTTTATCTAACTTCATTACTTTGCCGATTTGTTTCAAATCGTAGTTTGATATTATTAGAATAGTAACGTTAAATCTTGCTGTTAATTCACGCATAATTTGAGATGTATCCGTTTCCACTATAGTTTTCAGCTCATCATTATTCACCTTGGTCTTAGGTCGCCCACATGGTTCATTTTCAAGATTATAATTGCTAGAACGAAACTTTTCAAACCATCGACGTACTGTGCGTTCATTAGCCACATCTTCACCAAACACTTCGTTGATATTCCGTCTGTGCTGCATGACGGTTTCATAACAGAACTCATATTTGAAAATAACATGAATTTTTTACTCATCTATGGTTACACAAAAATTGCTGTAATAAAGACAATTCGAAAGATAATTACAAACTAAAATATGCGTTTGAAAGAGTGATAGTGTACCTTCACGACAAAAAAAACCAGAGACTGTAAAAGTGAAATGTCAGAAATACCGACTGTTGAACTTAGTACTTAAAGAAATCAGACATTTCATATTTAATGACCTAATACATTAATTTCGAAACATTTTATAATGTTTTCATAATTTCAATTGCAGCGTGTAGCTGCGACAGCCACGGTTCGATCGGCGTGTCCTGCGATGGCGAAGGCATGTGCCAATGTCGCGAGAATTTCGATGGCATTCGATGTGAACAGTGCAAGGAGGGCTATTATAATTTCCCAACCTGCGAAGGCTGCAATTGCGATCCTGCTGGTATAGTCGCGACCTTCCAAGGTTGCGGTTCTCTGCCACCTGGCGAACTCTGTCAATGCAAGGATCGTGTCGAAGGCAGAATATGTAACCAGTGTAAACCGCTTTATTGGAATTTACAACCTTACAATCCGGACGGATGTGAAAGTTTGTGTTTATTCTGAAAATATACTATTTTCCTCTTCCATAAAATTATTATAGAACGTTAATATCACGTTTGCATTTAAGAATGTCATTGCAATATTTTCGGAGTCATCGGCGGTATCGGCGAATGCGATACCAAGACTGGACAATGTATATGCAAACCCGGCGTAACTGATAGAGAATGTAGTCGATGCGTCGATGGAACATACAATCTTCAGGAGAGAAACATCTTCGGCTGTTCCGGTAAGTCGGTTTTTTCCGCTCCGCAGAATTTCATTTCTAACGTGATTCTACATTCTTCGGTTAGATTGTGCCTGCGATGTTGGCGGTTCTGTGAGTCCGATATGTGACAAACAAACCGGTCAGTGTCCTTGCCAACCGCGAGTAACCGGTCTGACGTGCAAGGAACCCTTGAAGGCGCATTACTTCCCTACTCTTCATCAGTATCAGTATGAAGCTGAGGACGGCAGGACACCGAGCGGTAGTCGCGTCCGCTACGGCTTTACGGATGACCATTTCCCGGGCTATAGTTGGAAAGGTTACGCCGTATTTTCTGCTCTGCAAGATAAGATTATATTGGACGTTGATATCATCAAGTCCTCGCTTTATCGGATGGTCTTGCGCTATGTAAATCCCAACAACGAACCAATCCTTGGTATTATTACTATCATTCCGGACAACCCGTCCGAAGTAGAGCAACAATTTAAGGTAAACTTCAAGTCGTCCAGCCGACCATCTTTCCTGACGGTTGCCGGAATCCATGGCAATCAGCCGTCGCCCATGGTTATGAATCCTGGACATTGGTCCATCAACATCGCTGCGAAAAAAAGTCTGTTCCTCGATTATTTCGTCCTTTTGCCATCCGAATATTACGAAGGCACAATACTGACGCAAGATGTAAATATGCCTTGCGAAATCGGCTACAAAGGACTTTGTAGGCACTATGGCTATCCGAATCTAATGCGATTTGACTTAGTTCGTGGCGCAGGTGGTTTTATCACCGAGGAAAACCTTAGAATCTCATTAACTGATCACTTGACCGATCAAGAAGTTTTACAAGAGATCGGAGAGGACAAGATACCACTCATTAACGGCCAACAGGAGGAGATTCTCTTTGAGCTCAGGATCAGTAAACCTGGTCCTCATGTTCTCGTAGTAACTTATGTAACTCCACGCGACGAACAAGCCACGTTAGTTCTACTGATTGAGGCCGATACTATCGGTAAAGGTAAAGTTACTTTGAATCCCTGTAAATATACCAGCATTTGCCGACAAGTCGTCACTGATACTTATGGTAAAATATCCGTCATGAATTTTCCGTCCAATTATATCAGCTTAGTGTTGACCGGCGATTCGACATCAAACGTCGGTATCCACTCGATAGTGGCTATCCCCTACAATCAATGGTCACTGGACTACGTGAAGCCAAAATCCATCTGTGTAAGAAAGAATGGCAAATGTGTCCAGGGACTCTTTCCCGACGCTGATGCCAAGAAGATCGAGTTCGAAACGGCTGGTGTACTCGAGGCTGAATATCGACCTCCTGATATCTACGATAACACCACTAAACTGATTTACTTGGGTGGCAATAGTAACAGCGTAGATATTCGCGCCAAAGTGCCTCAGCCAGGAGATTACGTTTTCGTGATGCAGTATTATCAACCGGATCATCCTCAGTTCAAACTGGAAATGCTCGTGCAGAACGGTAAATTCTACGAAGCGGAGATTCCAGTGCCACACTGTCCCAGCAATAGTGGCTGCCGCAGCATTGTTCGCCAGATGGATGGTGGCGGTATTACGTTCCAGTTGATCGAAAACGTCGTGTTGACTTTGAAACAACCTGCTGACAATCGTAGCATTTGGTTGGATTACATGCTGGTGATACCGGCAGATCAGTATAATGAAAAGATCCTCGGAAAGTTGCGGTTCGATCAGACGAAGGAATTCATCAAGCGCTGCGGTAATAATCACTTTCACATCAATGTCACTGAAGACGGTTTCTGCCGTGATTCCAGTTTCTCACTGACTGCCAATTACAACAACGGGGCACTGCCCTGCAACTGTATCATCGATGGTTCCACCAGCTTGGAATGTGAAAAATTCGGCGGCCAATGTCCCTGCCGGCCGAACATTATTGGCCGGCGCTGCGAGATTTGTAAGACCGGCTTTTATGGCTTTCCCCGATGCAGACCTTGCAACTGTCCCACAACTGCTTTATGCGAATCCGATAGCGGTAGATGTATTTGTCCATCCCACGTAACAGGAGCACGATGCGATCAATGCGAAGTTGGTACTTACGGTTTCCACCCTATTATCGGATGCGAGGAATGTAACTGCTCACCAGATGGTGTTTTGGATGGTGATTTACAATGTGATTTACTCGATGGCAACTGCCGTTGCGAAAAGAATGTAGTCGGCCGTCGATGCGACCGTTGCCACGCCGGTTATTCGCACTTTCCGCGTTGTGAGCGCTGCGACTGCGACTTGCGCGGCACTACTAGCGACATTTGTGACCAGATTACTGCTGAATGCTTTTGTAAGACAAATGTACAAGGTCTGGCATGCGACGTATGCCGCGAAGGCACTTTTGATATCCAGGCGTCGAACGAAGATGGTTGCACCAAATGCTTCTGCTTTGGTAAGACCACTAGATGCGCCTCAGCGAGCCTCTACTGGGCCCACTTAATGAATATGGAAAATTGGGAGCTGGTCTTGCCCATCGACAAGAGCGGCAACTTTACCGACTTATCGACCTATCCCGACGACGTGAATGCAACCACAATCGTTGCCTCTCTCACCACCAACGATACTTTCGAAAATGTCGTCTACTTCTCGGCGCCGGACACCTATCTGAATAAAAAACTGACCTCCTATGGTGGCTACTTTAATTACACTATACATTATAGCACGGGACCGTTTGGTAAGGCTGTCGGCGTCGCCGACGTGATCCTTCAAGGCGCCGACACCACGTTGTTCTACCACTCCGAGGAGCAGCCACCATCATTTACGAACTTCAGAGCATCTGTTCATCTCGTCGAAACTAATTTCCTCACTGTCAACAAACTGAGCGTCACAAGAGAACAAATGATGGTGGTTCTCGAAGACTTACGTAGAATATATATACGCGCTACATATTGGAATCCCAGCATCACTGCCTCGTATGTATTTTTAATTTTTATCTTAATTTTACTTAAGTCGGAACCTCTAAAAATCAATATGCTTCGTCTACGTTAAATATTCTTCAGGTTGTCCTATGTAACTCTAGACGTCACGACGGAACAATACTCAGCTCAATATAGTGTCCGGGCTAGCAGCGTGGAGCAATGTCAGTGTCCGCCTAATTATCAAGGACTTTCATGCGAGGAATGCGCCCCAGGTTATTACAGAGTACAATCAGGATCATATGGCGGATATTGCGTGCCTTGTCAATGCAATGGCCACGCAAGCACGTGCGATGTAAACACCGGAATCTGCCAAGTAAGAATGTTGGAGTTTTGCAAGTGTAATTCTTTTAAATCTTCCAGACTTCTCCAAAATTTTTCGACTATCTCGTAGGACTGCAAGAATGGCACCATCGGCGACCACTGCGAATTCTGCGAGCAGGGCTATTATGGCAACGCTACTGTGGGAACACCGACAGACTGCCTGATTTGTGCCTGTCCGCTGCCGGTTGTCTCCAACAACTTCGCCATCGGTTGCGAGGTGAACGATGAAGGAAACAAGATCAGTTGTGACTGTCTGCCTGAATATTATGGCGCTCGCTGCGAAGCATGCGCCGCTGGCTACTACGGTAATCCCGAAGTATACGGCGACTATTGCAAGCCGTGCGAATGCTCCGGTAACATCGACACTAATCAGATCGACTCATGCGACTCAATTACTGGTGAATGCTTGCAATGCCTGAACAACACTTATGGCGAGGCGTGCAATCTGTGCGCGCCCGGCTACTTCGGCGACGCCGTGCAACGGAAGGATTGTAAGAGCTGCGTGTGTGACGAGTGCGGCATGGAGCACTGTGACAGTTACAGCGGTAAATGCTTTTGTATGGAAAACGTGATCGGTGAACGCTGCGATCGCTGCGCGCCTGATCACTATGGCTTCAGCAACTGTAACGGCTGCAAGGCGTGTGACTGCGGATTAGCATCCGAAAGTAGCCAATGCGACGACGAAACGGGTCAGTGCAAATGTATGCCGGGAGTCACTGGTCGTAGGTGCGACCAGTGTATTCAAGGATATTGGAACTACAGGCCAGACGGATGCGCATGTAAGAGATCCTATTTCAGATTGCTTAGCAGTATTTTTGTCAAATAATCGTCACAGTGAATCAAAATTTATAATAATGAATTTATAATAATGAAAATTTATAATAATGAATTTTGAATGAAAGCAAAAGAATAATCATACACTCGTCTCTTTCAGCATGTGGATGTCATACTGGCTACTCTGTCGGGGTATCATGCAACACAACGACTGGCCAATGCACTTGTTTACCGGGTGTAATTGGAGAAAAATGTGATCATTGCCCGTATCGACACGTACTCATCCCGACACAGGGCTGTTTTTCTTGTGGTTCCTGTATCGGGAATCTCTTAGACGTAACAGATGAATTGACCGATTTATTAGAACCTATCTCGCGCGAATATAGTGTAAGTATAAAAAAGAAATCTTTAGACACCGAACTGAAAGACAAATGCATAATTTAACATGTTGTTCAATGCGCTTGCAGACAGTCGCGGAGGGCTACTTTACGAATCAACGATTGAAGTTTATCAATGATACGGCGAACGAACTCTATCCCGAAGTGAGAGTACTAGATCCAAGCAGAGTGAACCTGTTACCATTGCAGAAAAAACTAGGAGAGTTGGAGCATGAAATGTCCAACCGGAAACGGCAGATTGAGTTTGCTGCCGAAGACAGTATCAAATGGAAAGACGCCGCAGGAAACACGCTGAAGGACATGAACCATTTGGAAGAGGATGTAGTGCGTGAAATTGAACTAGTGAATCAAATCGTGTCTGAGGTGCAGTCTCTAGCGTTAAATATCGAATTGGGAACGAGCGCGAAGGTCGACAATGCTCTGAATGAAGCAAAGGAGATCCTGAAGAAGATCAAGGATGTTTCCTTCGTTAAATTCCGGGATGACGCGGTAGACCAAGTAGACCAAGCGAACATCCTGGTGTCCGAAATGCAGAAGTATAACTTCCCCGTCAGTAATCTGAGTAGCACCGCAGCCAGTCTTAGTGACAAAATTAGGAACGCTAGCGCCAAGATGGATGATTTGTTGGATATCGCGCAGAAGGCTCAAGAATTGGCCAATATGGTGGACAAACTTAATAGAGATAACAGATTCGCCGCCGAAACCGGTAATTTTGATGTTGTGAAGAACTATACGGTAGAGGCAAAAGAAGATTTGAAAGCCGGAGATACTCTCAACAAAAATGCCAGTCAGCATCTTGATAAAGCAAAAGAGATCATCGATATTCTACGTGAGTATTGTTTCTTTTATCTCGAGACAAAAATGAAAACGATGGTAACAATAGTTTTCCCCTTTCCCAGTGATGCACAACATCACAGATGCTACCATGCAGTTAAATAGCACCATTGTCGAAAACGATCAAATGCTGATTGAGTTGGAGACACCGATGCGGGATGCCCGCGATCACGCGGCGTACCTCTACAATCATTCTCTGGCACTAGACAATTTGTTGACTGACACTCGCAATACAAACGCAGTGAGGGCCGTTTCTGCGTACAAAAACATCGAAATCGCGATTCAAGCCGCGAGAAACGCCGCAGATGAAGCCATGATTGCTGCCGAGAATGCGACATCACTGGTAAGGAATTTAACATTAATTCTTAATTATTTATTTGAATTAATTAACTTTTCCCTACTTACAGTCCAGTGATATTGAACAGAAGATGTTGAATTCTCAAAACGAGTGTTACAAGTTACTAGATGCCGCACGCCTCACTTTAGAGAAAACGAGAGGACAGCCTGAGAACGATTTGCAAGACGCAAGGAACCACGCAGCTCTAATCGACAAGCAAAACAAACACAACAAGGAATTATTGGATTATATCCATAAGTACGATTTTCTTCCATAGTATTTAATAGTTTTATGTTATTAAATTAATTAACAAATAGTCTTACATTATTAGTATAAGGTGAATCACTAAAGGCGTTACAGGCTAATATTTCTCAAAACAACATATGAAATTCTTATTTTTTAATGACTGTTTTGGTATTGAAGCAGACACTGTGTAATGAAGTTAATTGTTCTTTTGGTAATTATTTAGAATAGGGGAGCCCCCGATTTCAATAATTCACACATATATTATTATTACTATCCTCCCTTAATAACATGCAACAAATTTTAATTGTTGGTCGATGCTAATTAAAAAGTTATTAACAAAAAAGTGTAATGAATAATGCCCACGTATTGAAGTATCACGTGTCTTCTGTGGAAATAATTATACAACACTGTGTATAGAGATTTATTTACGTATTATCTTCTTCGCTTGATTTGTTTAGTTTAGTTACCTTTCTTGTACTGGTTATACATCGAAAGAAAAACACACGTCTATATGCTGATGAAAATGGGTTTGCAATTTTCCACGCAAAACTAGGACGGACGGGGAGGGTGCGGGAGGGGGGCCGAAGGCCCCCCCTTGTACCCCCTGTGTGCGTGTGCGTGTGCGCGCGCGCGTGTGTGTGTGTATGTGTGCGCGCGCGCGCGCATGCATATGATTGAGACATTTTCATTTATTAAATATATGAATTTTTAGCTCATGTATTAGTGGTTATTTTTGTTGTGTAATAACCACTAATATATGAACTAAAAATTCATATGTTTAATAAATGAAAGTGTCTCAAACATATGTATACATACAGTACTAAATATATGTACACACACACATACACACACACGGGGGAGGTACAAGGGGAGCCTTCGGCCCCTCTTCCGCACTCTCCCCGTCCGTCCTAGTTTCGCATGGAAAGTTGCAAACCTATGCGGAAACTTGATTCGCATTAAAAAATTTCATTTATCTATAATTCTAAATAATTACCGTTTTTTTAAGTGAAGTCGTTAAAGTTATTTGAAAGACATTTTGTTTTTTCAATGACAACACGTACTTTTTATTACATATAATTGTAGCCCGTCTCTTTATGAGTAAAACAGTCCACACATAGTCAAAGTTATACCAAGGACAAAATATTGTGAGTTGGCAAAAAGTGTTCAGTTTTTGTTGTAAACAGTTTTTAAAACAAAGTTACTGCCATAAACTGTGTATTCGATGGAGACATGTCTGATTTATTGATATTAAAAGAGCTGCTATTCATATAAAGTTAGTCATGTTAACAAATAGTTATCCTAGAGAGCACAAAGATATCTAAAAGTTGACTAAAAGATGACAGATTTTCGATATGGGCGTCTTTTTGGTAGAGCGTATAGTTGACGAAAAGATGACTGAAAGACATCTTATGTCCTACTATTTGTCGTCTTATTTCTGCAACGTATAAGATGACTAATATTAGACATGTTCCCATATAACACAAGGATGTCCGCTGGACGTCCGACGGATGGCTGATTGGTCCGACACGGACGTTCATGGGACATTCATAGGATGTACATATTATAACCTAAGGCTATAGCCGGCCGAAAGACGTCCGATGGACGTTGGACATGGAGGTCCATGGGATATCCGTATTCGTCCAATGGCTGTCCATGAGATGTACATATATTCCAATACTGACTAAAGGACGTCCAGTGGACGTCCCACGGATGTCCGTGTCGGATTAATCGGCCGTCCAATGGACATCCTTCTGTTATATGAAATGTGTCCAACAAACACAATGTTACATGTAACCTGCATGTTAGTTGTAATTTCCTACTCAACAAGATAATTGTTATATAAGACATGTTATATAACAGTTACATTGTTGAATGGGAAATTACAACTAACATGTACGTTACATGTATTAGGTGCGCAACTAAGTTCCCGCTGTTTTTCAAGAGATGGCTCCAGTAGTAAGTGCTGGTCGATTGTGACATAACCAAAACGTCATGAACCAAGCTTAGACATATGGTAAACAAACCATTTTGACACATTAGTGATTTTGTTTTTGCGTCATATACTTTTGGTTGTGTGAAAATGTCTTATTTTGTGCCAAATAATCGTCATTTGCGGGAAGTGTTGCTTTTCTTCTTTCATTCGAAGAAAACGGCGGCTGAAGCGCATCGAGAACTCCAAAAAGTTTACGGAGATGCTGCTCTAAGTGAAATAACGTGCCGTGATTGGTTCCATCGCTTCAAAGACGGTGATTTCGATGTTGACGACCGTTCGCGTGAAGGAAGGCCAAAAACCTTCGAAGACGCTGAATTGGAGGCATTGCTCGATGAGGATCCGTGCCAAACGCAAAAAGAGCTTGCTTCAGCATTAGAAGTTACCCGCCAAGCCATTTCCAAGCGATTGCATGCGTTGGGAATGATTCAAAAACAAGGAACTTGGATTCCTTATGATTTGAAGCCAAGAGATGTTGAGCGTCGTTTTTTCGCCTGTGAATAACTGCTCCAGCGGCAAAAAAGGAAGGGTTTTCTTCATCGCATCATTACGGGTGATGAAAAATGGATTCATTACAGCAACCCAAAGAGAACAAAATCATGGGGACTGCCCGGTCATGCTTCTACATCGTCGGCTCGGCCGATTATTCACGCTGCGAAGGTTTTACTGTGTATTTGGTGGGACCAGGGCGGTGTTATTTATTATGAGCTGTTGAAACCGAACGAAACCATCACTGGGGAACGGTATCGAACTCAATTGATGCGATTGAGCCGACCACTGCGCGAAAAGCGGCCACAATACGAGCAGAGGCACGAAAAAGTGATTCTACAGCATGACAACGCTCGGCCTCACGTTGCCAAACCCGTTAAAGCCTACTTAGAAACGCTCAAATGGGAAGTCCTACCCCACCCGCCATATTCCCCAGATATTGCGCCGTCCGATTATTACTTGTTCCGTTCGATGGCACATGGTCTGGCTAATCAGCAGTTCCGCTCATATGAAGACCTCAAAATGGCTTGATTCGTGGATAGCCTCAAAAGACGAACACTTCTACCGTGACGGTATTCGAGCTCTGCCAGAAAGATGGGAAAAAGTTGTCGCTAGCTATGGACAATATTTTGAATGATTCATTTGTAACCATTTTTTCACAATAAAGTTGCATTTTCATCAAAAAAACAGCGAGAACTTAGTTGCGCACCTAATAACATTATGTTTGCTGGGCGATGAAGGAAAATGCAATACTACCCAGTGGATGTTATGGTACAGAATGAAACATATAGAACAGGTTAGCATTAATTTTATTACTAATCAACGGATTTTAAAATATTATTTTGTACGTAATATTGCACATAACTTTATAGGATTTTATATATTATTATATTGCGGAATTGCCAACAAGTTAAAGTTACTGATTAAGGCTGCTGGATACTTGCCACAGCCAGTTTGTTTTAAGTCGTCAGAAGCGAGAAATTCTGTCCACAATTCTTGTAGTATACGAAATCCATAAAATTTGCTGTCGATTCAGCAAATATATAAATATTTCAACCATTATCTTTTTGTTGCAGCACTCAATAAAAAACTACAAAATTTCCGTGATAGCAATTATAACATTACGTAGGACCTAGCAAGATAAGTTATACGTCACGTTAATTTTATTTATAGTTATTTGTTGAGTCACAACAAACAGATAGTAGTTGAAATATTTTACAAATATGTGCTTTATTAATTGCAAGTTTTATGGACTGTTATTTTATGGATATATCGTTATAAAAACATTTTAAAAACATTCATTCAGTCAATATTATTCATTATATGCTATTTGTAGTACTTTTCATATAAGTCGTCTTTTTAATGACTTTTGGCCCAGTTGAAAAGTCGACTTTTTATATAATCGGAAAGACATATTTTAGACATATTTATATCGTGTCGAAAAGAGGACTTGCGAAAGATGTCTTTTTATCAACTAAAAGTAGTTTTGACATTCGAAAGATGTCTTTTAGTCATCTCCGCGTCTAGTCTAAAAAACAACTACAAAAAGACACCTTTTCGTCATCTTTTATTTTTATGTGCTGTCTGGGTATGTGTTTTGTAATAGCTTACATGAAAATTAATTTCCTTCTCACAAAAATAGCTGATAAGAACAATTCCATCGATATGTTTTTAGTTTTAGGAGTGTCAACGAAATTGTAGACGTGCTGCAGTTGTATATGTATGTACAGAGTTTATGACTATCCACCCTGATTTTTTCGAAAACGCGACATTTTACATAGGCAGTCGACAATTAGCTCATGAAAATAAAATAAACCACGCTTCCGTATTCAGAATTTTGCGAGAAAATAAATTTTATCTACATATTATTACATCAAGAATTGTCTGACATATGGTCGAATATATTTGTAATGAAAGTTTTGTTTATAAATGAAGCAATATTTAGCAATGTTGGGAATGTGAACAGACATAACATACACTATGGGGCCATTGAAAATTCGAAGTAGATGAAAACTGTATCTGTGTAACATCGTTGATCGCTAAATGTCTAGTGTAGAATCTCTGAAAACCATATCATCGGACCACACTTTTTTTATAGTCTACTTAACGTCAAAATATATATGAACTTTTTAGTTACCACATTGTCAGAATTCTTAGAAGATGTATTTCTTCACGTATGTGAAGAAACATGAAACATATGGTTTCAACAAAATGGAGTCATCATTGCTGATGCTTATTATGCTTTTTTTACGCGACAAACATTGGATATCGTGTTTTCAAGAAAGTAAGTTAGGAGCAGAAGACGTATCAAATGAGAATTACCATATTTATTTGATATTACATCTCTCGATTTTTTTTTATAATATATAGAAAACGCTATATAGAGAGAACGCAATACCGATAGTTTCAACAATTCATAAGGATACAAAAGAAAAAATGAAAGAAGCTTGTGAAATGTAAATGTTAACTGCTGTCCCAAATGTTAAGTGTAGAGAGTGAAGTTTATTTTTGCATTGAATACGCGCATATTTACTTGTGAATAACAGTAATTCAAGCATTTATTTAAAAACTCTTCGCAACAAGAACTGAGAACACTTTCTACCACTTCACATTGTTTCTTCATTGTAACTTTGATATAACTTTGTGTTTAACTATATGTGGTCATTTTAATCATCAGGAGACAGCCTACAATTATATGTAATAAAAAATATGTGTTGTCAGTTCAAAAAGTCAAGGTGTCTTTCAAATGACTTTAACGACTTCGCTTAGAAAACAATTAATTTCATATTGCACCGTTTCGAATAATGTCCGTTTCGATACTAATTATTGTGAAATAAAAATTTCATATGTCGTTCAGTTTCAGAAAGAAATACCAGCTTGTAACACTTTTAGTAGTTCACTCTGTATATGATTAGAAAATTATATACTTTTATTTAAAGACATTCTCTCTCTCTCTCTTTCTCACTCACTCATTCACTCTCTCACTCTCTCCCTCCCTCTCTTTCTCTCCCCTATTTTTCTCTGCCTCTTTCCTTTCCTCTCTTCCTCCCTCCCTCTCTCATTCTCTTTTTTATTCTTTACTGTGCATGTTCTTCCAAATTTGCTAATGAAATATAACATATATTATACGTATGAATTGCAGGGCACTTACGAGTATTCCTTCGCAATCATCCACGGTAGCACATGACGCTATGAATCAGGCAATGAGTGTCGAGCGCAATATTCAGAGCGCTATAAATGGTATGAACGGCATTGTAGATCGAATTCCGGAAGATTTGCGGGAAACGAAGCAGTTGTCAAAGGATACGTCGGAATCGATTCGTGATATCTCACAGGCGAACAAGCAACTGGATATTGTGGACAAGGTGGTGCCGAACATCACCAATCTGTTGAATAGCTTGAACAGCAACCAAAAGTCGATAGATACTACCGGTAAAGATTTGCAGAACAAGATCGAAGCCCTGAAGAACAAGATCGCGAATGCTCGAGAACTGGCTGACCGATTCAGGTATGGCTTAACTTTCTACAGAAACACTACTCTAGAGCTGAAGAATCCGGAGAGCCTGCCGCTGCTGGCCACCTCCACCAAGGTCTCCCTCTACTTCAGAACCAACAAGACAAATGGCTTTTTACTATACCTCGGTAACGAGGAGAAGGCAAATTTACCACGCTCTAAAACAGTGAGTTTGTTAGAATCGATAAAAATCATTATAAAAAGAAAAGCATGAATGAAAAATATATCGTCAATTTTATATTTTACAGCATGATTTCATGGCGTTAATGACCGAGAGCGGATACCCAGTGCTAATAATCGACCTGGGTGCCGGACCTGAGAAGATAATTCATAATAAATTTGTATCAGATAACGTGTGGCGGCAAATAATTATCTACAGGTTCAATAACTCATTTAATAACAATTTAACAACAATTGTTCAATAATTCGGATCAATCCTGATATGATTCTATATGAATGTTCTTCGAATGTTTCTTCTTTCAGAACGGGCAAAAACGTGAAGTTGATAGTTCGTGAGGATATCGGAGAAGGTCGGGACAAGTTGTACGAGAAGGCACGTGTCCTGACAGGCCCTTATTATATCTTCAACGTGGATCGGGAACAATCGAAGCTCTTTATAGGTGGCTACCCGTCGTCTTTCCATATTCAAGATGCTGTGACCGCATCGTCATTTGAAGGCGAGATGGAGGAGTTGGTAATAGGCGACATACCAGTGTCTTTCTGGAATTTTGTTTACGGAGAGAACAACCAGAAGAGCGCGCTCGAACGCGATAAGCTCGTCAACTTCCAGCCGAGCACGGGATATCGTTTTGATCGGCATGGTTATGCGATTCTCAGTAAGAAAGACTCACAGATCACGCCGGACTCCAAAAGATTTAGTATCAAATTGTCTTTCAAGACCTTCGCTGAAGACGGGCTAATTTACTTGATGGGTAAAGGCAGACAATTCCTGTCACTACAAATGAAGAACGGTCGGTTGTTGTACCAGTATGATCTTGGTGAAGGTGTGATTCCCTTGGAATCCTTAGACAAATACAATGACGGTGACTGGCATATCTTAGAGGCTCTTAGACTCGAAAGAAGTGGTGTGCTCAAAGTAGACGGTCACAAAGTAGATAATATCGAATCAAGTGGAACTGCCAGAACTTTATCATCTTCGGATCATATCTTCTTTGGTGGATATCCGCCCAACATGAAGCATCCCTACCAGTCGGTCACTAACAACGGTTTCGAGGGTTGCATCGACAACGTTATTATCTTCGACACTTCGATTGATCTCACGCGCAATGTGCAGGCATTTGGAGTTATTCCTGGTTGCCCAGTCAGGGTAATAATGCAATAAAATTATGTAGAATACATAATTGTAAATATAGAAGTTTCATGTTCTTGCATGTATGCCGAAGATGTATAGAGTATTGTATATATAGGTCAATACAACGGATTGGATTCAGTAGGCCTTGGCGGAATACTCCCTTGAAAGATATGCAAATGAATATACCACCAAAGTCTATTGATTACAAGCCCATGCTGAGATTACATACGTTTGCCAATGAAACAAACAGACAAATGTTGTACTAGCCTGTATATTAACACAACACTCTGTACACTGCTTGAAAAATAAAATTTACGGAACCTAACAATCTGTGCACATTTACATCTTTTGATGTTATTAATTATTTCTTCAATCTGTTGCAGTTCGCTAGCCTCGTTTCCTTCGAAAAGGATATGCCTGGCTACGTAAGATGGCAGAACTTTATGTCAGATGGCTTGCAAGTAAACCTGAAATTTAAGACTTCAGCCAATAACGGACTGATCTTCTATGCGATTGATGACGACCAAAGCACGAACAACGGTTATCTCTCATTGTTGAATGGTCGGTTAGTGTTTATTAGCCAGGGTGTCGAGTTATGGACTGATCCCTCGGACATGAAATTCAACGACAACGAATGGCACGTGGTAACAGTCACTCTGGATCAACAATCGGGCCTTAGCCTTGACATCGATGACACGAAGAGCTACAGATCAGATTCGTCGCCACCACTTCTACACTTCCTTCATGGTAACCTGTACATCGGCGGATTGCCATTAAGATTGGATCCCGATAGTACAATTATGCCTTTTGTCGGCTGTATCGGCGATGCAACACTGAACGGCGAGATTATCATCAATTTCGCTAATTCGACTGAGAGGCCGCACGCATTTTTGGGGAAATGCAAAGGTGGTGATCAGACAGGTATATTGCAACACAGACTATTGCTGTTCGCCGAGTTACATTTTGGATATATTTGATTGCTTGAATTCTTCTCGATTTATAGCTCCACCATCAATCATCGAACCCGAACTTCCATTGTTGCTACCAGTAGAAGGTTCAGAAGAACCAATAGAGCTATCGACTCAGATTAGTAAGAACGAAAGATAAATATGTCACAAAACGAGTTTTAAAATAAATAATTTATATCTAATTACCAATAAATTTCTTCTCGAAATTCATTTCATTTTAGGCATAGTAGACATCGATCTTGAAAAAGAGGATGAGGAAGAAGAACCCGATTTGGAAGGCCGAATGAACGTTGAGAAAGTTGATTTTATTACCACAAGTACTACGCAGATTCCAACTGAACCTAGTATTCAAATGGATGACGAATGTCATCTGCCCTATTATCCAGCTGTAGATCCTAATTTGAAAAACATGGTTTGGCGATTCGGTATGCAATTGCATTTTTCTAAATAAGAAAGAAATTTAAACTTTAAATGAAAATATTGCATTTAATCCATATCGAATTTAAGTAATTTAAGATGTCGTACTTTTCTACATGGTTAATGATATTATTTTAGGTATCTTCAGGAATAGTAGGTTGCAATATAAAATGCTGAACGAAAGATTTAAGGACAGCTACAACTTTCAGATCAATATAAAGACACTGGCCAATGACGGAATTATATTCTATAGCTCCAACCTCAATCAGCAGAATGACCCAGACTTCGTTGCCGTGTATGTGCTCGATGGAGAGGTAATTCATTTGCTTAAGCAATCGCCCATTTTGTTGCTTTGATCCTAAGAAGTAACACTTAACGACAAAATCGAAGGTTCATTACAAATTCGATTGCGGAAGCGGAATGCTGTCGCTAGTAAACGATAAGAAAATTAATGACAATGAATGGCATACTGTGCTCTTTACGAGAGATGGTAAACACGGCCAGTTAATTGTGGACGAGGAAAAGGTAGAAGGATACTCTCCAGGGGATTCTACTGCTATCGACGTCAATCCACCGTTCTTTATTGGCGGAGTATTACCGCAAATGTCCAGCACCGCGCATATAAATATTGTAAGAACTAATTTTTTATTTACCCTTCGAGGAATGTCTAGAGAGTGTGATGAATGTATTTTGTCACTTTCAGGGTCTCAATAAGACATTTAATGGATGCTTGGGAAACTTCATGGTAAACGGACACACAGTAGAACCATCGCAGAAGGTAGATGTGATGCCTTGCTCAGAAAAGGTTGAATCTGGTATCTTCTTTTATCCAGGAAACGGTAGTAACTTGTACAAAGCAGGTGAGAAGGTTAATTAAAACGTATTGTACGTCCTGAGGAAATATACCAAATGATTACCGTAAATGTCATTTAGTTCCATTTTGTATTTAATTAAAATTTGATAATATAATATTGAAATATTAAGAAACGGAAGTAGAATATTTGATCGTTGAATTTTTCCAGCTGACCGATTCAACGCGGATCGTGGGTTTGATATTCAATTAGATATAAAACCACGTACAACATCCGGGCATTTGTTATCAGTGCACGGTAAAAGAGACTTCATCATCTTGGAGATGATCAACGGCACTATCAAGTTCGTTGTAAAAACGCAGAAAGGCTCGATCGAGACCTCATTCGTAACAAATCCGAACTCTCTATGCGACGGTCATTGGCATAATATTCGAGGTATACAGTCAATATTATATAATAATTACTCTGATTGTGTGTATAGCATGTTGCAACATACAGATCAATACGACAGATTGTCTATTCGTTTAGCCAGCAAACATGCGTCTTAGCGTAGATTTAGTAGGCCTTGGCAATATACACTGAGTTTTCAAACGGTTTGAATATTTTTTATGCAATTCAGAATGCAGCCAATGTTTCAATGAGAGAACTGATTTCTAAAAAATTCTTAAAGATTAAGTTGTCGCATTGGATGTACACTACATTCTGAGCTACATCCAAAAATATTCAAACCATTTTGAAATCTTACATATTTGAGTTTGTGACTATACTGCCAAGATTTATTGAGATCACACGCGCTTGCTACCGAAATAGGTAGACAACTCGTCGTACTGATCTGGCTATTGATGCAATATCCGTTATAGGATATACACAGGGTGTGAAAAAAATTCCAGGACGGCAAATGTCTCGAAAAAATATAAGTTTTATAAAAAAATGTGTCAGGTAAAAGTTGTAGAGCTTAAGAAGACTGGAGCTATATCAATTTGACCTTGAATGGTGTCACCAAAATCATGTAATTTTATCCACTTTGGATCAGCCATTTCAAAGTTATTAAGCTTTTCATAAAAAAATATCGACGACTATAGTTTTGCTTAAAGTAAAATAAGTAGAGATACTATTATTATACCTGTATATGGATGAAAGAATGATAATGAAAGGATGATGTAAGTGTGAAAATAGGATGAAGTGCGAATAAAATATTTTAAGATGGGAAAGGCGTGAGATAGAGATAGTTTAGTAATAAGAACTGATTGTAGTAGATGTGTATCAGTTACTTGACACCTTTGACAAGAAACTTTTAAGTATTGACAATAATATTCTACTCATTTCATTTTAGACAAAACTATAATCGTCGATGTCTTATTATAAAAGAATCGTAACTTCGGAATGATTGACTTAAAGTGGATAAAATTATAGTGGTTTAAAAAGATCTCAAAATATGTATGTGGGTTATTAAAATATGTAACAAAAAATAGGGGATGTTATTTAAAAAATTCAAAATAATCTTGACCTGACGTCTTGGCGATGCCACCCAAGATCAAACTGATAAAATCTGTAAATATATCTTTTTAAGTCTTACAACTTTTACTTAAAAATTTTTTTATAAAACTTATAGTTTTCAAAATATTTCATCGTCCTGAAACTTTTTCCGCATCCTGTATATTTCAGAAACTTTAATTCTTTGGTTAATCTGTTGATGGTAGTAGAAACGAAGTATTAACAATTCTTCTACACAGACATTGCTGTTCTAATTATCAAAATGAACATGATTACTATTATTATATATTCTTAAATGCTTTCTTTGATATTCTATATAAGTTAAGATTCCTATCTACTCCGTCACAGCCATTTTATTTTATAATGTCAGAAGGAAGAAAATACACGCTCAAATTTTTTGCAAAATATGTTGAAATAAATAAAAAAAATGTTCACAAAATAAAACCTAATGAATAAATTATCGCAAAATCAACATGATATATTTCATTTAAAAGCAACTTCTCTTTTTCTTATTTATTTTCATGATTTTGTCACATTAATTTTACAGTAATTTATTGATTGTTACAGCTAAAGGAAACTATCCGAATTATTTTATAAATTTGGTCCATCGATTACAAAAGCCATTTTGTGACCATGTTTTTTTTTTTATTTCAATGTATTTTACATAATCTCATAATGATATAAATCAAAATGATCGCGGTAAGTAAGTAGGAGTCTTAAACTAAGTGTATATTTTATGTTCTCTATTTTCTTTACAGCCATCAAACGGAAAAACGCATTGTTGCTGTCAGTTGATCATAAAGCAGCGACACCTGCAATCTTCAGCGGCAGAAGCGTGGTCAGGGTTCTATCGAAGCATCCGGTATTTATCGGCGGCCAGCCGAATTTGGGAAAGGGACTTCGAGGCAGTATGTCGCAGGCACAATATATCGGCTGCATCTCCAACATTTTAATTAACTCTCATAGCATCGAAATCACGCCCGAGCGAGCTTACGGTCGAGTTCTTGCTGGTGTATGTCCGACCATTTAAAACGTAATAATCTCCAAATGAGCTATGAAAATTTGTTTATCAACTTTTTTTTTTGAAATATCACAGTTATTATCTTTAGTGCTTCATTGAAAGATGAAAAATAAACATATAACGAGCGAAAGATTGAACTCGTAAATTCGTTTGATTCTTTTTCGAGAAGAAAAAACTTCCTCGTTTTTACTAGAAATTGAGAAAAAACAACTGGTACAATATGATACAAAAACTTTTTCTTTTTTTACCAAAGATACGATTTAAGATACCTGATTTTCTGCCACGGCTATCTTGATTGATGACGTCAGAAGTGAGCAAATATACATTTAAAATTGCAAAATATGAAAAAACAAATGAAAGTATATACAAAATGACAATTGTGATCAATTGAACAGATTTGTAAAACACTTTGTTTACGAAATATTTATAAATCTGTTTATCTGTTAATACATCTCATAAAATGAAATATTTTAAAAGATATGTGAAAAATTGTTCACATAATATATGAACAACTTTTTAACTATGTGCTTTTATCGTTAATTTTACCTATTGATCATGTTTTTATGAGTTAAGAGGTAAGTTTTCGGACTACATTATTATTTTGAACAGCCGATCACAAATGTCATTTCATTGTAATGTATTTTATACGAATTTTTATTGTATATATTTTCGTTTTTAATATCATTAACCCGTTAACACCCAAAAGTCCTAAAATATTAGCCTTAGTTTACAACTGTATTTTATGTAGAGAAACATTATATACGGTTGGAATAATATTTCCTTATGTTTTTGGGGTCGTTCTACAAGATTCCGGCATCAGAATTCGTTTAGATTCATAATAAAATCCAATATAGCGGAATCTTTGGAAAAAGTCATAAAAAATCGACAATTTTATTTTTTATAAGATTGATTTCGTATCAAAAACGTTACTTTGATACAGATACAAGTGTCACATTTTGTCTCAAAAATATTGACAATTAATAATTTTTCTCAAAACTTTACGTAGTCGATTCAAATTTTTTCCCGTCCGTTGTACTTATCTCGATATTTCTTGTTTTTTATAAAGTTTGTAAGTTTATAATTACCCCCCACCCTGTATATGTGCGTGCATACGTCTCGAAAATAATTCATGAATATGAAAATAAGAAGAAAATTCATGAAAATCTGGAAATTTTCACGATTATTCGTGTCTTTTAGTCGCCATCTTGGATCCGCCATTTTGAAATTCTCTAATATGAATTAGTTGTCAGCAAATATCCTAAAATCAGTACCCTGGATACTAAATTGATGCTAAATACTAGGATTTTGCGAAGTTATTCTAAAAATATACTATTTTTAAGCTTTTTTCGTTCAAACCGCCATTTTGAGGCAGCCATCTTGAATTCACATTTTCACTAATGCATACCTTGAAAGTTCAACATTTTTGAGACAAGATATGACACTTGTATCTGTATCAAAATAACGTTTTTGATACGAAATTAAGCTTATAAAAAATAAAATTGTCGATTTTTCACTTTTTTCAAGAAATTCGGCCATATTGGATTTTATTGTGAATCAAAACGTATTCTGATGCCGGAATCTTGTAGAACGACCCCGAAAACATAAGAAAATACTATTCGAACCTTATATAATATGTTTCTCTACATAAAATACAGTTGCAAAGTAAGGCTAATATTTTAGGACTTTTGGGCGTTATAATCGGTTAATCAAAATAACTGCAGTGATGGTGTAACTTCAAAAGCTTTTATAAAATATATAAATTATATAAAAATATTAGAACATATTTGTATGTAGTACTGATGTGACTAATCAATTTTAGTACGCAGAATGCGGGTAAAAAAGGCAGAAATATGTATGGAAGTCATAAGCGTTTTATTTTGTGAATATATATCTATGTGTATACGTACACACATATACACACATATATTGTGCGCGCGCAATGTAATATTTGTGCGTTATCGCACTCGGCACATCTTGTAAATAAATCCAAATTTCTATACAATAAGTTCTCAAAAGTTCGTTTTGGGAGATTTCTATTTTTGGCTCAGTCTTAATATTGTTAGGTCATAAGTATCAAAAGTCGTTCTTAAATAACTCTCTCATCTTTCCATATTAAAAAAAAAAATGCACGCAACATCGTTTCTTCATAATAATTATAATTCAAGAAATTTATCGTCTCAGTAATAAACAAACACAATAATTATGGAAATGTGAATAAAAGCGGTGAATAAAAAGTGCAAAATGCGAGTTGACTAAAATGCACATCGTGCTACAACAAAATAAATGATACATTTAATTGTTAAATATAGAATTAACTCTGAAATAAGAGATACACAAGTGCAGTCGCGAAAAGTACGTGCAAGTGAGGATAATAAAATCAACTTAACAGTCAAATAAATTACATTTTTCGAAGAGCAATTCATGAGAATACCGTGAATAAATGTCAAAACTATAATTCAGGAAATGATGCATGCGTAACTTTTTTCGGTTTTCTTTAGAGAGGAAGAAAAATGTTAAAAGAAATGCTTACTTTTTATCGCAAAGTAGATAATAACTCTACTAGTTTATATCACGTTGTGATTGTTTATAATATTCGATATTTAATATTTTGAAAAAATATGAAGAAATCTTGCAGCATCATTCGCTGAATCACAATGCACAGCCATACCATTCATTCTTGCTACATTTGCCTACACAAAAATGTGTACACACACACACACACACACACACACACACATATATATAATTTCTTGCTTCTTACGCGTTACTTGTTAACTGATTCAATCATGTTTACTCTGCCATACATAACTGGGACGGGATTTGCGAATTGATTCACATATTTAAAGAGAAAAAAATAAAAATATAAGGTATATTAAATCACTTATAATACGTAAAATCTGATTTTTATTACAATTATAATATGTATGCTATATATAATCAGCCTGTTCATCGATTTGTCTTACTACAATCTTTAAATGTATATTCTTATGTTTAATCTTCACGTGTCAAGATCGATATTTCGCGTAATCAATGACGCTTATCGAACAATATGATTTGTCGAAGGAAAATATACAAAAGACACTTTCGTATGATTCTCTCATTTGCTGACGACATCCCGCGCATTCATATTCAACACTGACTTCTTCCAAAAGAGACTTATTGGAAGTAACTAATGCGAAATGATATCTCTAATATACTAAACATGACAAAAGAATTACTTTAAGAGAAACAAATTCGAACGTTTAAGCGAACGAATAATAAATATGAGTTCTTTTTATTTCGCGTTGCGTTCTAAATATTAATTAAATTGTCGAATTTGAACAGTCTATTGGCTCGTTTTGTATGCACCAATACACTGTCGTGAAATGAAAAGCATCACGTTGTTATAAATTAGCAATGTGCAATAGAAGCTAATTGATACAATAAATAATTTAGATAGGTCATCCCATTGTCACTTACATCAAACGATATCTCAAGCAAAATAAATTTTTTCAAGTTAACACGTTTGTTGCTACGTCACATGTATAACGTATCGATCTTTCATGAGATATCAACGTTACATGTGATGGCAATAATTTCTTTTTTATGTCCATATATAAATTAAGTCTCTTTATGTTATTGTATAAAAAAAATTAAAAGATGAACTGTGGGATTTACCAACCCACTCAGCAAGCAATATTTCAGCAACATATCAACAATGTTGACTGCAACATTGCTAATACGTTGCTTAAATATTGCTTGCCGAGTGGGAAGTAACAAACATGATAACAAATGTTTTGATTAACAAAAACAAAAAATTTATTATATTAAAAAACAAAAAATTTATATTAATAAATCAATTTAAGAAATATTTCATAAATAAATTTCATTAATGATAAATATTGTAACTTAATAACTTAGAAACTTACTAACAATTTTAATATCGTTCCTTCTCTTGACAAAGTGACAATAGGATAACCTGTAATATCGCTTAAAACAAGAGCAAAACATGCCTTTAATTTAAAGTAACAAGCCATTTGCAATGTATCTCTATGTTCTTCAACAAACAACCATTGGCAATGATTTTTAGGAAATAGTGACGTGTGGTGTGCAGAAAGAATGATAAAGACTAACTTGTCTACGACATACAATTTGCAAAAAATTTACAAGGAGAGGTTCGGAAAAGATGACTAAGATATTTTGCAAAAAAGAAAAAACTCAGGAAAAAGAACGCTGCCATGTCCGAGATTTTCAAGAGTAGAATCACATCTATAACAAACATATCGTGTACTCAGATCACTGATAGAGAGGCTTCTATCAGCTTCGGTCATCAGTTACTCCTCTAAGATATTATAATAAAACACTCACAGACTTCGAAGTATTCGTAAAACGATCCTGAAACGAACGATAAACGGACCGTCGGCGAAAATGTACAAATCGATCGATGGACCGGCCGAGGGATGGTCGGTCATTTATCACGCGATTTCAGGAAGTTTCTTAGCGAAGTGGTATATCACAGTGCAACGATCCAGACATTCTATGGGTTGGATTTTTTTTTTTGGGATAGAGATTGGGAGATGGGAAGCAGGTCGATTAAGGGAACCGATGGACGACGGATTAGATATCGTACAGATTGCTTCAGGGAATATCGCGTTGACTTGTCGAAGTTACTAAACCGTCTTACAGTCGTCTCGATCGACCCGTACGCGGCAATCGCGCCTGTACAATTGCATTTGTATCACAAAACACGACGGTGTGCATCATCGTTTGTAAAATTGAGTTCGACGGCGATTTATCTGAGGACCGTGCTATTTCGAGTTCCAGCCATAAACACGCGAAGAACTTTCCGATGATGAATCTTCGATGGAAACTTGATAAAGATCGAATACTTCTCGAAACAATCGAGCAGATCGACCCAGAGTAACATATATCAAGCTACAAGTGACGAAGAGCGAATAGTAGTATTCACTACCTCCTTTTTGTGTATAATACTTGGTCACTTTACTCGATTCCATGCGCAAAGATCATCACTAATCCCGGCTCGACCATCATATCTTCTGGCATGTGTGTGTTATCACAATGAAGGACCAATACTGCTTGTTTGCCGGGCACTCTTTTGCACACGTAATTGTCATATTGCCGCCGAGAGTTCTGTCGTGTTTCGAGTGAACTAAGGCCTGGTGGCCACCTTCTCTCATGACAGTTCTCCATCAGCTCATCAATCACATGCGGTGGACAATTGTATTCTGACAATGTTCTCTTTATCATAGTCTGCAACAAAAAAAGATATTAATAAGTGCAATCAAAACATTCATTAAATGTTCCAATTAATCTAAATTGATGAGCCAATTGATAATTGATACAAGTTGTACCTGAAGCAACTCATCTGGTGTCGAGATCATACCACCCCATCTAGTAACCCTTGCACGTGGAAGAGTAGCTGACCATCTCACAACGTCGTCCCGTTCCATTTGATCAGCTATTGCACGCATTGTTGGATTAGAAACTCTAAGTGCCCGCATAAAATCTTTAAGCAAATGAATTTCACGTTTGTGCTCATTGATTTGTAACTGATGCTCGCTGATTTCTCGCTTCATATCTGCCATTTTTTGCTGTTGCGACTGTATCAAGTTCCTGAGTTCACGTACGCAGTTGTGATCCTTCAACTCATTTTTTGGAATGATCAAGCTGCAGCCTTGTTCACAGAGCATTGGTCTCTTTGGATTGTATTCACATTGTTCAAGATGAGAGGCCAAACTATCTAACTTGACAACCACTGAGCAGCCATATACAACATTGTCACATTTAATGGACAAGCGAGACAATAAGTTTCTAAGGATTCGGGGAACTCCTCTTAGCTGAGTAACTACAATTGGTGTACGGTCCAATGGACATGTATGTTGACGATTTATCCATTCATTGATGCATGAACGACAGAAAGCATGTTCACAAACTGGTGCCTGTAACATATCACTTGCTTGCTGATTATTATAATTTATATAGCTCCTCAATATGCTATGCTTGATAAAATATAAGTGCGTACTCTCCTAAAATAGTAGTAATAATAAGTAGTAATAATAGTAATAATAAGAATTATATCAATAAATAATAAGAATCCTTTCATATAATGTACATTATAAATTGTTTTAAGTTAAGCAAAGCTATGAAACTTGTCACAAGTGCATCAACTGCTTGCCAAGTTCTGTTGGGACGGAGAAATACCAAAGTTTGGAAAAATCTGGATATCTGCAATTTCGTTCTCTTTCAAGGATTATAGTACTTTTTGCGTAAAGTCATTTTCTTTTTCGTGCTTGATAAATCTCTCGCACAATACATGTAGAATTATTAGAATTGAGGTTATGGTAGAGTCGCGACAAGGTCTTTTTAGCTCAAGCGCATATAATTGTTCTACCTGGACAGCATCTTCGAGTACTCCGGAGCATATAGGGCAAACAAGTTCCTCATCGACGTCGCCCTGGAAACGGTTTACATCGAACCCCATCGTTCGCAAACGCGTATGTTACCTTTAGTTACCTCCCGTATTTCTTGTCGCTTTTAGCGACTGATGCGAATTCAGCGAGAGCACGTGTGATTCAAAATCGACTCTCGAATCGTTTGAAACTCTTCCAACTCACGTTTGTTTCATTTTAAGTGCAAATCCAGATACTCGTATTCTTCGTTATTATGCAAAAAAAAAAACACCTGTAATTATTTTGGAATTGATTTCGTTGCGATGATTGAAGCACTCGAAATGATGAACGTAAAATTTTAGGATCTTAGTATTTTTCTAATCCATTCATCTACCTCGAAAAGAAATACGACTTCCTAAAGAAATTAGAATCAGCATTGATGTCGAATTTATTGCTTATTATTATTATTATAAAATCGTCAGCCGCTGCCGAAACTCCGCAGTCTCGCATTAAACGATCCTGGGGCTTCGATGTATATGAAGACACCACTGAACCCCTCACTTCTTTGCAGAAGTGAGGGCCGCAGATTTGCTACTGCTGGACGACGACAATTGTACCGTTATGTTCGCAATTCTCGTCCATCCACGTCTGTCCCGTTCTCGTGCTAATCGACCCGCTGCTCCCGAAATGCATGATCGGAATTAACCGTCCGTTCCATTATTAGTGACCGTTGAGAGAAAAGTATCTTTGACGTAACTTTGTTATAAACCCTGTATAGAATGTCGTATTTAAAAGTATTGTTTCGCATTCACGAGATTTCGTCGTGAATTCTGCTTTGCGGAAATCTCGGATTGGATCGCGGGCCAATACTTTTCAATGCTACGGGAAATAGAAGATGAAAATCTTGTATGCCTCTGAATCCGAAAACAATTAGGAGAAGAAGTGAATACTTTTCAATGCGAAAGTTCGCATTTAAAAATTATCGATTGCGATTGAATGCAAGGCATATTTGAAATGAACTGAATCCTTTTTAATACAAAGCATTCACCACTGCCGTCTCGCATTTAGCGCGATGAAATTTAATGGGAATTAATACTTTTCAATCCCTTCCCTTGGATCAGAAAGCAGAATTCAGACATATTAAAAATGTCGATACTTTTTAATACGTTTCAATTCGACATTTTATACAAGGAAGTACAACGAATTTCAAAACGTCCTGAATATATTTTTTATTATTTTGGATATCGTTCGAAACGTAGCCATTGGTCTAACAAAGAGAACTTGTTTCTGAGAAATTCTCACCCAAGTAGAACATAAAATTATGGTCACATCAAAATGATGGAAAAATTATCGATCACGGTGAAAAATGAATTTTCCTCATCATTTTAACGTCATCATGATTTTCTGTTCTGCCTGGGCAGAAGTTAAATTTTCTTATTAGATAGCACATAATATTACAGCAATATTATAATAATATTACTTCTCCATTGCAATATTACAACGTAATATAGGCTGTGTTCCAATATTCACTGCCAGCACTGAAAATCTATAATATACGTAACATAAACTATGTATTTTCAATACTGGTAGTGAATTTTGGAACACAGCCATAGTAGAAATATTACTACATTATTACATGATATCACAGTAATATTAAAATGTCTGTCGAAATGCATCACAGTAATATTATGGTGATATACTACAGTAATATTGTGATAATATATCATAATAATATTGTCACAGTGATACATCACAATAATATTATTGTAATATTGTAAAGTTATAGAATACTCTTACGGAAAAAGACGCTCAAATTTGAGTGTATATTTTAAAGTAAATTCGAATAATTGAATGTAAACACTCAATATTTGAATGTTTCTTTCATAAGAGCTAATTTTATATTAATTAATCTAATATTAGATTTGAAATGTTATCGTTGAAATGTTATGTTTGTTAATCATTTTTACCTTCTGAAAATGTAAGCAATTCAGTTTTCTGTGATGTATTTACATCTTTTAATTCGGACTTTTCTGCCTTTATTCTAAAATTTTACAACTGCTATATCTCGAAAACTAAACATTTTAGAAAAAATGTTTTAGGCAAAAGTTGTATAGTTTCAAGGGAAACAGAATAACTATATCATTTTGTTTACAGATGATGCCGTTTTTTAGATATTCACTGATTATTACTTTTCTTAAATGAAAACCCCATTTTTTATTATATCTTTTTTTTCTATCAATTAATTTGGGCAACTTTTATCTAAAACATTTTTTTATTTGCCTAATATTTTTTGAAATATTTAAAGAAAATTTGGTAACTTCTTCAATATTTAATTTACGACATCTCGCTAATTATTTGTTGAAAGAAAAAATAGTGTTAGATTTTTTACTCTATTTACTCCTTTTTGTCTGAAACGTTTCTTAATATCTTTCATATTTTTCGAGACTTTTGCCTGTCTCATTTAAAATGAGATGCCTTGTATTGTTACGTCCTACGAACTCCGGACAATTAATTAAAATTTTTTTTCTCTCTTCTCTTTTCTCTCTTTCCTTTCGAACTTCTATTCTCCTAATATAACTATATAATAGGAATATATATATATATATATATACAGGGTGTTTGATAGCTGATCATGCAGACGAAAGTTGAAGATAGATTGGGTGTAGCCGAGAAGAAAAGTCATGTACTATAATGTCAAATTGGCAATAGTTACCGAGTTATTAATTAAAACATGTGAGCCAACGAGCGCGTAGAGAGCGGAGGGCGGCCGCAGTAAGTACGTAGACATTTGATACAGGCGGAGTCAGCGAGTGGCGGTAGGCAAGCGCGCGCGGCGAGGAGCAACGTAAGCGACAAGAGGTGATCGCGCGCGACGAGGAGCGAGCGAGCTTTTTCTTTATAGCTTTTTCCTTATAGCTCGCTCAACTCCTCGTCATTCGCGCTCGCTCGCTCTTCGTCGCGCTCGCTCGCTTCTTGTCGCTTGCGCTCGCTCGCTCCTCGTCGTTCGCGCTCGCTCGCTCCTCATCGCGCGCACTCGCCTCTTGTCGTTTACGTTGCTCCTCGCTACACGCGCTTGCCTACCGCCACTCGCTGACTCCGCCTGTATCAGATGTCTACGTGCTTACTGCGGTCGCCCTCCGCTCTCTACGCGCTCGTTGGCTCACACGTTTTAATTAATAACTCGATAACTATTGGCAATTTGATATTGTGGTACATGACTTTTCTTTTCGGCTACACCCAATCTATCTCCAATTTTCGTCTGCATGATCAGCTATCAAAACACCCTGTATATATATATATACGAGGGTGGTCCGATAAGTACTTAGCCTACAAAAGAAAAACGAAAATTTTGGAAAAGTGGCGATTTATTTCTCAACATAGTCTCCTTTTAGCTCGATACACTTGACCCAGCGATGCTCCAACTTCTTTAACCCGTCTGAAAAATACGTTTTCTCGAGGTCTGCAAAGTAGGCCTCCGTGGCGGCGATGACCTCCTCATTCGACTCAAATTTCTGCCCAGCGAGTGACTTTTTCAAGTTTGGAAACAAAAAGAAGTCGCACGGGGCCAAAGCTGGAGAATACGGTGGATGGGGCAGCAGTTCGTAGCCCAATTCGACCAATTTGACCGTGGCGAGGGCGGAGGTGTGAGCCGGTGCGTTGTCATGGTGGAAGAGCACTGTTTTCTTTGCCAAATGGGGCCGTTTTTTCTGCAATTCGGCGTCGGATCGGCCCAATAATTCGGCATAGTACAGCCCTGTGACCGTTTTGCCCTTCTCCAAGTCGATGTAGATCACACCTTGTGAATCCCAGAAAACGGTGGCCATCACCTTTCCGGCCGATAGGACAGTCTTCGCCTTCTTCGGAGCACGTTCGCCGGGTGAAGTCCACTGTTTCGACTGTTCCTTGGTCTCTGGTGTGTACCAGTGGATCCATGTTTCATCGACGGTCACGAAACGACGCAGAAACTCCTTCGGATTGCGCTTAAACAGCGTCAAACACTGCTCTGAAGTGGTCTCACGGTTGCGCTTGTTGTCCGGAGTGAGCAAACGCGGCACCCATCGCGCCGACAGCTTTCTCATGCCCAAAATTTCATGCAGGATATGACCCACGCGGTCTTTTGAGATGCCTACTGTCTCAGCTATCTCGCGTACCTTCAATCGGCGGTCTGCCAATATGAGATCGTGGATTTTTGTCATGTTATCCTCCGTGGTAGCCGTTTTCGGGGCACCTGGGCGTGGCTCATCAAAAACCGACATGCGACCACGTTGAAACTCGTTAAACCAATTTTTGACGGTCGCCATCGAAGGAGAAGAGTCACCGTACACAGCATCCAAGCGCTCTTTGATTTCGCTGCGCGATTTCCCTTCCAAAAACAAGAATCGAATCACCGACCGATATTGCTCTTTTTCCATTTTTCTAAAATCCGCGGACACGCCCGCTTCCACACGCGGTCAAAACAAAACTACGAGTCCGATTCGGCTGAAATTTCGACAGTAGCCGTCTACGAGAATGTACTACACGATAGTAAATTTCTCTTGCGATAGTGGTGCCATCGGGCGGTGAGGCTAAGTACTTATCGGACCGCCCTCGTATATATATATATATCAGGTGTAGTAAAAAGAAATCCATTATTTTTGCATGAAATTGAAGGCTTTAATTACCATAGTTAGAATGATCCGATTTAGGTCAAATATGCGCCGTTTTGTTCGATAACTTGTTGCCATTTTGAAGGTAATTTCATTATGCCTCTCTCATAGAAGCCCTCGTCCCTATTGGCAAAAAATTGAGACAGTCGATTTTCACAAGCCTCTCTTGAAGCGAATTTTTCACCAGCAAAATTGTTCGCCATGGACAGGAACAGATGGTAATCACTTGGTGCCAGGTCCGGACTATAAGGTGGATGCATAAGAACCTCCCAACCAAGCTCCCGGAGCTTCTGGCGAGTCACTATCGATGTGTGTGGCCTGGCGTTGTCCTGATGGAACACAATTCCTCTCCTATTGGCCAAAGCTGGCCGCTTCTAGGCGATTGCTTCCTTCAGACGGTCCAATTGTTGACAGTACAGTTCCGAGTTAAGAGTTTTGCCGTAGGG